ATTGCCGGGGAGCTATTTAAGCAGCTATTTGTCTAACTGGTGAGACCTATTTTGCAGAAATAGTAGATTTGCTCACTTTTCACGCAGTTTTGAACAAGTTCTAGTTTTGCTTATCTTTAAATTAATCGGCACTACCCAGTAGTCAGATAAAATATCTAAGTTAACAAACTAATATATCTGTTATTTATTCTCTGAAGAAGCGGCTCACACTGAGTCACGAAACGTCACAAAAATTAATTTTCGTAGCCATAGGGATATTACAAATATATTAATTAATTGATTTATAACAATCTACCCAATGCTCAATTTATTCGAAATTATCAAGTCGAAACTTGGTAATGATACCTATCTCAGTTAACGTCTGGAATATCAGTTTAATATACTAAATCAGAAGATCATTGACTTGTCGTCTGTAGCTGGATACGTAACCAATAATGAAGTGTTCGACTTACTGTTTTTACCTATTCTATATAGGTTCGAATATGTGCGATAAACCTAAATAGACAAGTTGCAATGTCAAGTGCAAACCAGTTGTAGTATTAAATGAATACAATATGCACTTGCTTACTATATAATACATAGCAAAAAATTTTATAACCTAACGTATTAGATAGGTAGAGTCAGAACAGTTATTCTTGAGATCCTTTTATAAATACATGATTGGAAAAGCTATAAAGTTAAGTATTTTCTTGATGCGACTCTGGAGTTTGATAGCTACAGAATAAGATCGTATGCCAATTATACTTAATGTGATAGCGATGAATTGCTCGACTGTGGCAGCCAACATTCCAGATGATACTGTTCGTTTATTTTGAGGAGACCAGGATGGTAAACTTACTGGTAGGTTTATGAGGACATGATAGTGTTAGCATTTTTATGTACCCTTTTGAAATTGCGATTACGCAGACAAATAGGTAGACCAAAAATAACTAAGAGAAATAGCAGCGATGATAATACCCTGGCGTAGTTTCATCTGGGGATGTAGTGAGAATTAACTAGCCCCCTCACGGTTGTCGAGTATAGGCATTTAGGAGTCATCAGGGGGAGGCATGTTTCTTTCGTTTAGGAGTATAAGCCACTGAGATTCGGTTACGTAAGAATAGTTAGCTGATTATTAATGGGTTAGATAGTTCATTCACTTTCGCATGCCTTTTATTCTGTGTAGATTTCAACGATTCATATCCATAAATATCCGTGTCAGGTCATATGTGACTTTTAGAGAATATCCAACTTAGATTTTATTACACTGCAAGTTAGTTTTCTTCTTGCTCATTTGGTAGACACGGAACTAATCAGGACATTCTCTTTCGTGTTAATGTTGCCGTAAATAAACAAGCAGTTTGCTAATTTGATTTTTTTCCACCGGGAATACTGTATATGACTTCTAAACTAGTTCCTGGTATGATCTGCTCCAGCATTTTGTTTTTCATTATTATCATTGTTATTATAACTTCATGGTGTAAACAACGTGAAATCCTTATTCTCTGAATCGCGCTCTAAGGCTCTGATATTACTAATCAGCTATTAATCACAAACAGTCATCAGTACATTTATTGTAGGACAGTTTGTGATTAAATTAGCTTGATTTACCTTGTGCGTCCTTTCAGAGAACGAGGAAGTGTACACGTTTGTCATCTTTGATAAAATAATGTGTATATTTATTTTCATAGTTATATGTAATGACGGTGTGTTGCTTATCGGAAATTTCGAGAAAAATTGGAGATTTTAATTGTTATTGGACAATAAAGAAAAATAAGATTAAACGGGCTAAATAGAGCTGTTAACCATTTTAACGACACCTTTGTTTAACCACAATAGGTGCTCACGTGCCCAAATATACAAATTGCTAGAACATCTGCCAATATAACTTGCTCCACAGGAGCAGTTGAATTGATAGATACAGAAAGTAAGTGGTTAGTCTAGGCAATTTATCTTTCAACCCCTCGGAGTGATCATTGAACGTGTGGAAAACATTAATTGTAGTTTACCTGCATTAAAAGTTCTGTGGATTGATCTGCGTAACTTCAGTCTTAGCATTTCACTAGGTGCATCACTTCTGAATTGTAAGCGTACATACAGAGGCTTTTTATTCACTGTTAGGCATTGTTTATGCTCTCTTTTATTGGCTATGTTTTTATTTATAAATTTCAAGATGTTATTCATCTTGTCAATGTAGTCTTTTTTGTTAAGTTGGACAGTTCCTGTCCCTTTATCAGGTTATGCGATAATCAGATTATCGTCATTAATTAGTTCATTGATAGCTCCCTTGTGTTTTTTTAGTTAAAATACTTCTGTAGTTATATCTATTATTTCTAAACTGATAGCAGCAGTCAACTAGGTTTGATTTGAAACGTTCCTGATCAGAAGTCGGGACTAGATCTGATATCTGACGATTTAGGTTTTCGGATTGGATTTCCATATCTATATGACTTACGAGGTTTCGTGTATCACATAATTTTAGACCTAGTGCTAATACTTCAAGTTTTTCTTTATTTAATTCAGTACCGGAAAAATTATGCACATACCTCTAGTTTATTTGGAAATTTATTTTCAACCGGTTGATTTTCTAGGATTTTGAGAAGTATATGTTTCTTGTCTGACCTTTCCATAGTTCTCTGTGACGTAATCCATAAACTGGGACTTAATGTCTTCTGTTAATTCATCAACTGCAAATTTTCTGAGAGCAATATTTACTTTTATATCCGTCAAGTCATTATTTAATGTATCAATTTTATTAAGTGCATAGCGTTTTAATGTTTTTCTATTTGGATGAACGTGATTTCGGCGTAGTAACTTATAGAACAGTTTGGGATAACGACATGATTCAATACAGTTCCTTATAAATTCCAAGATTAAAAAAACATAAACATGAAAGGTCAAACGATGATGTCCTTTATCGTAACGTCATTGTTCACAAATGTCCCACTAAGAGAGACTGTAGAATATATTTGTGAACAACTTAGAGAATAAGATATAGCAACTACAATCCCAGTGGAGATCAAAGAATTACTACTAAAATGTACAATGAATGTACATTTCAAATTCAATGGTGAAATCTATGGAAAAATAGATGGTGTCACGATGGGTTCACCCCTAAGTCTCATATTGGCTGAGAATTTTCTCTCTAAACTAGAAAACGGTCCACTGGCACAACAGATTGATGGATTTCCATTTTAATGCAGATATATGGACGATACGTTTATCCTTTGTAACGACCATATTGACTTGATAGAAACACTTGAGCGATTCGATACAGTTCATCCGTCCATAAAATTCACATATGAGAAAAAAAATTGACGTAGAATAGCCTTTCTAGATGTTCTGCTTACAAGAAGAAAAGACTGGTCGTTATGAGGAAACAAACAAGAAAACTACTTGGACGGGCCAATACAAAAACTTTCTTAGTTTTGTTCTTCTGCAATACAAAAGGAACCTTATTAAGACACTGCATCATAGAATCAAGACCATATGCTCTATAGACGCGGTCGAAGATGAAACAAAGGCATTGTACACGACCCTGAAAGAAAACAGGTATCCGGAGAAATTTATAAATAAAAACATAGCCAATAAAAGAGAGCATAAACAATGCCTAACAGTGAATAAAAAGCCTCTGTATGTACGCTTACAATTCAGAAGTGATGCACCTAGTGAAATGCTAAGACTGAAGTTACGCAGATCAATCCACAGAACTTTTAATGCAGGTAAACTACAATTAATGTTTTCCACACGTTCAATGATCACTCCGAGGGGTTGAAAGATAAATTGCCTAGACTAACCACTTACTTTCTGTATCTATCAATTCAACTGCTCCTGTGGAGCAAGTTATATTGGCAGATGTTCTAGCAATTTGTATATTTGGGCACGTGAGCACCTATTGTGGCTAAACAAAGGTGTCGTTAAAATGGTTAACAGCTCTATTTAGCCCATTTAATTGTGACAGTATATACAGCCAACGTGAAGCAATCTTTCGCAAAAACAAGATTGTTTTTTTAAAATTTGCTACTGATAAAGAATGCTCACATTCCTAGTACTCGATAATAGATGCCTTCGAAGCATTGCTCATGTATTTCCCGACCACCGAGTGAGGAATAGGGTACCATGTAAAGATGGTAAATCGAAAGATGAGATAGTAGATATCTATCAACGGAGGTAGTTGGGACATATGTTAAGTATGTCTAGCCACCGCTTACCTCGACAGGTGTTGTCTAGTGTAAGAATAGGTTGGAAGAAATCTAAGAGTGGCCAGACCGAAACTTGGGATTATTCCATGAAATCATTGACAATTGGACTGAGTCATTAACATGTGTAGACTACCTGTTTGGGGTCCTTGTGATTACTGCGACCGGTGGTTAAAAGCCTTGAGTGATACGGATCAACATCATTTGCAATGGCGTGGGTCCCATGTATCCTTTGTTTTTCTCCAAACTCTAAGCTTCTGAATTCCTCATAATTTTCTTTCACAAATTTATGTTTTAACTGGTCGTATCTTCGATGCCTAATCTTTTGTCTTACTACTGGTAGCAGGTTCTACGTTGCACCTGAATTATTCACTGCAACGTCTGGATGGGTTGTTTACGTCATCAAACGGAAATATAGGGAAAACAGTAAGAACTCCCGTCCGTTGAATGTAAAGTACGTTCGATAGTCCTCTCTGTAGGTTTTTATGGTCAACTCCATTCAGTGATTGTTAGACTATCGCCCGCCAGAGACATATCTTCTTAATCACTGAAAACAAAAAATGTATGATTTAAATGTCCATAGGAGGCTACCTACCATAGTCCCAAGCATTTATTCTAGACGGTCATCAATCAATCGGCAAACAAATACAGCATTAAGACTGGATTTGTGCATAGGATATTGTATATTAAGAAAAAAGATTATCATGAAAATAAAAAAAAGATTGTACCTTCATGAAACTAGATAATTTACATGAGATAATATTCATTGTGTTTATGTTCAAATATTTGCACATAATATGACGGTAGTATAATTCATTTATTTTATACAGCAACACCATCGCTTGCCACCTCTGATGGATTATTGATAGTTGTTCTAGGACGAGGTTGTGAGCTACTACTTCCGGCTGATTTCAGTAGTAACCTTCTATGTTGATTATATCCTTCCAATTCATTGAGCAATTGATTTAACTCTTGACTGATTTGATTTTCTAGTTGAGATAAATTCATTCTGTTTTCGTTGTAAAAGTGAAAATGGAGGAAAAATCAAGTTATATGTTCCTATTACGTAGTAGGTGTAGTAGATTAAAGTGAAATTTTGAGGTGAACAAGGTAATTTTTGTAACCTTGTGGATTGATTCTAGTTTCTGCCTTGACAAGCAGGTTTAGTTACTAGTGAAATCCTTAGTTTGAATACTATAAAACACGACAGATATCCGATTAATGTATACTGTGTTAGGAACTCTGCCTGGGACACCTCTAGAGCTACAGCCAATCCCAAGTCCGGATAAAGGGGGGAGTTGGGCATGGGCTAAGCAAAACCGTCCTGTAGAAAAGAACTTTGCTAAAAAAAATCGCTAAGTAATACTATGTCATTGGATTTAATATGTGTTGTTTTAAACATAGTTATTTATCCGAGTACGACCGCAGCTATAAGTAGGGTCAATGATATTCAACTACCTTTGTTTGTGGGACCACTCGATTTTCGACGTAAGGTGTTATTATTTAAAGGAAATGAAGTAGTATGTGCCATTGGTTACTGTGTATCTGATGCTAGACTATTGGCATGCATTATGGTGACTTGTTTTTTTAAATCAAGAGGCTCATGAAGTGAATGATAAACATTGGGAGACATATAGACTTAATTACATATTAAGCATCAACGTAACTATATAGGCCTGAAATCGACTAATTCATGTAATTAGGATGCGCTTGATAGTCTCACTAATGTGTCTGAAATGTATTTTCAGATGTTGATGAGATTTTTGTTATATTTTATTAAGTTTTTCCATAAGCACAGTTGTGCCACTACCTAGCAGTTTTCCTAATATCCTTAGCAAAATTCGTTTACATCAAGTTCTTTTCTGAGATACTGTTGAAAACAAAAAAAATAGGTGGTAGTTCATTCCCTCAGAATTGGAGACAATACATACTCTAAGAACTTGATTCAACTGTTTTGATAAGTTTACCAAACTGTCGACAACTGACTTTCACTTGCGAGTGAAAGTAAAAAGACAATGGAAATTGGTCTCCCCACTTATTATAATAATGATAAGGGGAGTTATGAAAAGGCATTCGACAGTGTAGATAGGAGGACATTATGGAAACTTCTTCGACACTACGGAGTTCCTCAGAAGATTGTCAACATTATCCGGAACTCATACGACGGACTACAGTGCAAAGTAGTGCATGGAGGACAGCTGACAGATGCATTCGAAGTAAGGACTGGAGTCAGACAAGGCTGTTTACTCTCTCCCTTCCTCTTTCTTCTGGTGGTCGACTGAATTATGAAGACCTCAACATCTGAAGGAAAACACGGAATACAATGGACAGCTCAGAATCAATTAGACGATTTGGACTTCGCAGATGACCTAGCCCTCCTATCACGTACACACGAACAGATGCAGATGAAGACAGCCAGTGTAGCAGCAGTCTCTGCATCAGTAGGCCTCAGCATACACAAAGGGAAAACCAAGGTCCTCAAATTCAAGGCGGAGAACAGCAATCCAATCACTCTTGATGGCGAAACTTTGGAAGATGTAGAGTCCTTCACATACCTGGGAAGCATCATCGATGAACAAGGAGGTTCAGATGCAGACGTAAAGGCGAGGATTGGGAAGGCAAGGGTCGCATTCCTACAATTGAAGAACATATGGAACTCAAAACAACTTTCAACCAATATCAAAGTGAGAATCTTCAATACGAACGTCAAGGCAGTTCTACTGTATGGAGCTGAAACTTGGAGAACTACAACAACCACAATCAAGAAAGTACAAGTATTTATAAATAGCTGCCTACGCAAGATACTCAACATCCGCTGGCCGGATACCATCAGCAATAGCCTTCTGTGGGAGAGAACAAACCAACTTCCAGCTGAAGAGGAAATTAGGAAAAGACGATGGAAATGGATAGGACATACATTACGCAAATCGTCAAACTGCATTACGATGCAAGCCCTAACTTGGAATCCTGAAGGGAAGCGGAAAAGAGGAAGGCCAAAGAACACATTGCGTCGGATTATAGGAGCAGATATGAAAAGGATGAATTACAACTGGACGGAGCTAGAAAGGATTGCCCAGGACAGGGTTGGATGGAGAATACTGGTGAGAGGCCTATGCTCCTTCACGAGGAGTAACAGGCGTAAGTAAGTAAGTAAGTAAGGGGAGTTAATGGTGGCTAGCAGAGGAATCCAGGATGTGCGTCTCGTCCTAAACATCAATGAGAAGATCCAAACAACCAATGCAAAAATGAATAATAATAATGTTTTGATCACCAATTCAATTCTTTAATTTCATGTCGTTCTGATGTGTGAAGTGTAGCTTATTTGGACTGAGGTGCCTGGGACAAATGTTTCGTATGCTGAATCATCATCTGTCAACTTCGATGCTGTCTGGTGTTTAAGTAGATTAGAAGAAAGCTGCGGGAGGGGAACAGACAAAGACAATACCATTCCATAAAGTCAGTGAATGTTCGTCTAAGTCGTTTTAGTAAGTTTAAACTACCTAGTCGGAGTACACGCGATAATTGTGGTCAATGGTTGGAGGAAACCTTAGATGACATGGCTCAAACTCGATCGCAAAGAAGCAGGCACATTTTATTTTTCTATCTTCAATGTTTTGTCTGACACTTTATATCCCTTGATTTCATTTCTTTCGAACTATATTCTTCATGTCTAGTCTCGTTATCACCGGCACTACTAATATTCCGGGCCATTTTCATTTAGTTAATGCAGTGGTCAGTTTGAGCTAATGGACATTTGCTCCGTTGGTTGTTAGTCAATTATAACTAATTATACCAGATTATCCCTAGATTGTTTGTGCCTTTCAATATATCAGTTTTATCCTCTAACACAAAGCGAATACCATTTTCAAATTGAAGAACTAAAAATAAGATGTAAACTTATATCCGAAGAAAATTTCACTTAGTTTACAACAAGACATTTATTAGATCATCGGTACTGTAAAGAGTAGGATCAAATAACATCACTGCTAACCACCATCCCGACCCCTAAGCTAGGTAGTTGGTTTTAGGCTCATTTTTCTAGCTCGTTTCTGTGAATATGTTGATTATCTTTGGCACTGATAAAATGAGTTCAATGATGATTAGCGGTAAAAAACTTACGGGATAATAATAATAGTATTAAATAACCACATACTTTGTTTTAGCTAAATGAGTATCCACTTGGTCGATAGCAATTTTATGCCGTTCACATTCTGATAATAATTCACGTTGTCTGGCACGATTTGTATCTAATAATTGTGACCATGGTGTAGCTGCTAGTTGGGCCAATTCTGCCACAGGACCAACAGCCGATCCACTTAATAAATCCAACGTAGAATAACCATCTTTATTACTATTGTTGTTATTACCACCAAATCGGGCTGACTGTTCTAAATGATTGATTTCTGGCGAGAAAAGAAAATATTTTATTAGAAATAATTGATCAGTTAGTGTATAGTAATTATGAAAATGTTAGATTTTGTAAACATTTATTCTTTTTATTGACCTTTATTCCCATTATTCACCCATTAACTACTGATAAGTTATAACTTATTGTCAGATTATTTTAATTTTTGGCCTTAGTAGTGGGTTGATAATATCAGTGACAACGAAGAAACAGTAGACACATATGTTTCGTTCGAGTTTGGGACGATATGAACATGAAAACTTATAGACTCCAATGGTCTAAGGGTGATGCACTCACTCATTATAAGACCTTAAGGTGACATGGGTTCAATCCCGAGCGAATAGTAGCGCGCACTGCTGCCGAATATTCGCACATTACGATCAAGTTAGCTACCCAGTATTTCTAATATCACAGCGGTTAAGACTCTCGACCCCCAGTCAATAAGTCGCAGGTCCAGACTCCGTTACACCTAATTCGGTTTGGGTAACCAGGTGACATCACTAGCCTAAGCATACTAATCTATGCTTAGCAAATGAATTGAACAAACCGGGCTTTTCAATGACATTCCAACTGATTTAAATCCGCAACCTGGTCTATGACCGAGAGTCTTGCCAATCAATTGTTTGATCATAGCAATAGGTTGAATAGCACTTCGGGAGATGAACTGCTTGCTCTTTAAAAAAGTTGGTTACACGTTCACCCTATCTACTTATATTGGTTTAGCAAAGTGAATCCTAAAACTAGCCTTTGAACACACGTATACAGTATGTGGTTCAATGACGCGTGAACTGATCCGTATTTAATTAATTATTTGCAGTAAACGGTTAATTTACCTTGGAAACTATAATTGAGTGTATAGAATGCATACGATAAGAAAATAATCGATTATGTGTGGTATGACAGTGGGGTTTCTGGAAGTTTTCGAGTTTTGTAGTTTTACATCGTAGATCGGCTGAAGTTAAACGACAGTTAAAAAGCAGTAGTTGAGGGACAGCTAACTTGTCCCAGTATAAGACTCTTCACCAGTGTGGGTCCGTGACCCAACTAGGGTTTCAAATCCAGAGATTTCGGGCCTCGTGGCGAGGGCTTAACTTTTAGATCGTTGAGTTGTCATCTAATGACCTGCACTTCTAACTTCAATTAATTCGTGACTGTAATCAAGTGCCATAGTTAGAAATATCTGTCTTACGCTCGGCATGATTGGACTCTAACGATCACGGCTTTGCACGAGAACTTTGGGAAGTACCCCTCAGAGGTTGGTCAGAAAATGAATCAGTGATTAGGAATTAAATGGGCATTTCCCGTCTGATACTTTTATCTAGACTCAACAGGAAAATATAATCCAATTTGAAATGGTTTGGATTATCCCGTTGTGGGTATTTTTGGCTGAAATTTGATCAGTATTGGTTAACACATGGAACGTCTTGAACAAAACCTATTTCAACAGTTTGTAATTGCATGAAAATCGGCACAATTTCGTCTAATCCTTAAAACCACTTGTTTGAGAATCATATCCTAAAGTTTTGAGACTTTATATCATTAATACACCAAACTATGACTTCTCGACAGTTGAAATCTCTGTCTCGTAGTATATATGATGTTCACATTGTGTTCTAATGATATTATATTGATGACAATAATAGTCATCTATTTTTTGACTTTAGAAAGTGTACAAGTATTTTTCATTGGTGACTTTTCTCCATCGCTAACTTGTTTAGGCAAAAGCAACAAAAAACAAAAAGAAACCCAATATTCATTTCTTTGTGTTTTTAGAAAAAAACCCAAACAAACAAGTAACAACCTGTCAACAATTAGAATGGATTTTATCTGTGCTGACTTATAATTAAGCTGTAATAGAAAGAGTATAATGATAACCTTGAGATTAGGCTTTGAAGGTTATTGCCCCAACAATGACTAGATTTATAAGAGTATGTTTAATGTGATGACTAACTAGCTGTTAGTTGTATACACGACTACTCCCTTATAGTCTATAAAATAAGAATTAAAAACAATGAAATTACGTAGGCGGTTTCACTTTGATTTGTAGTTCAACTGTATGTGTCTACATGTATAAAGGAGAGACAGATTATACACCGAGTTTCACAGATTGGCTAACGAAGAATTAGTATAGCACTGGTGAAGTTAATTAGCTCGCTGACTAACCATGACAGACTACACTATTAGGCTGACTTATATATTACAAGATAGACATAGATAAATGGTGTGTATTATATACATATATATGTATAAAACACCACTAGAAAAAATATATCCTATGCACATGTTATTCTGAATGCATTGTTCATGAGTATAAAGATATGCATGTGATAGATAAATATACGGAAGTAGGGGATAGTGAACATCATAACTCCTGGAGTTCTGGTGAGAAGTAGTGACTAGTATAGTTCAACCAAGTTAGGCGTGAGACAATTTGCGCAGTATCATGAATTAATTGAAGTTAGGAATATAAACTATTGGATACCGGATCAGTAATTTCAATGCTCGCCGCAAGACCTGGAAGTTCAGGTTTCGACCTGTGGTGGGGTCCCTCATAAGGATGATACAATTGTCCAATACTCCCTAGTCCTTAGTGGCTATCTAAATAGGCTCAATTTATGATGCAAAACTACAAAAATGTGAGGAAGTTGTGGGATGGAAAAAAACGAACACTAGATAGACGTAAACTAGGATTCAGGTTATGTATTTATAATGATATACTTCTGTTGAATAGTGTGAATAGTTACGCGTTTCCTGAGCCAATCGACTGCAGAAGATATCGTGAAGCAATGTATTTAATGCTTAAAGTTTCAAAGATAACCGTTCAGTCATTTAATTATCAAAATAGTAACTGGTATTAAAATACTGAGGTTTCGTACTTTTCGACATTCATCAAAGATCCTGTAGGAACTACTTAGTGGGACTATAACGAACGGATGAAAAAACAGATGTTAAAATGGTCTTACGATTTCGAGGCTGCTTTACAATTAGTGTGCAAAGAGTTGGTATACATCAAAAGTAGTTCGCAACAGTAATAGTAAAACTTATTGTAGTAGCTTTTTTAAAAACAAGTTTCTCAAACCATATTATAAATTTTCCCGATCTTAATATTATAGAAATATAGCTACCATAAATCTTGTCTATCCAAGTATGAATAATCCACCTTAAAGGCTTGTTTATGAATCCTTCTCATAAATGTAAATGTTTTATAGGAAGTTCGTCAGATAACTGGGTTCGAGTCTGATGGTGAACATCAACTCTAGGATGCAGGTACACCCAGCTGATGAGTCCCAACTAGGACGAAACGCACGCCCTTGATTCCTTCTCTGCATAAAATGCTTGTGATTCTAGGCAATACCGAAGCAATCCGCACAGAATGCACATATCCCAAAAGGAGATTAATCAGTTTCAGTCCTAAACATCAATGGGAAGTTTCAAGCAACCAAGACAAATGAATTCATCATCGGCTACAAAAATTTTAATTAATTCACAAAACAGTTAAGCAGATGGAAGACTTATAAGACTATATGTTCTGGGGGAGTTTAATGTGCAAGTCATTGGCAACTTTACAACTGTTGCTTATTCAGCTCAAATGCATATTATTCAGTGAACCATTAAACAAAATGATTTATGGTTAATTTGATGTAGACAAATTAAATTGGTTTTCATAATATGTCTAATTTACATGGAAAACAGTAAAGATTTGACACGTTGAACATTTTCATCGCTTAAAACACGAAGTGGTCTTAGCTATACAATTATTGAAAACCTGAAAGTACTGGTCGTCCGTTTCGTCCTAGTATGTAACGAATCATCAGTGCGTCTTAACCTCTAGACCACCACCGGGGTGGTATCTACTGCTGTGCACATGTTTACCTATTATCATTGTCATTTTTACTCTACGGTGATATAGAAGAATTCCCTCACACCAAACCTTAACAACTTAAGATGTTCTGAGCACTATACACACACACGTGACTCCTACAGCTTTTCTTCTTATGTGATGTTGATACGTATATACAATAATCTTGGTTGGATAGTTAGTGTGGAGAGATAATTATGCGTATTTCGCGATAGATATTTTTGTAAATATATTAATTTTTAATGATAGAACGCTTTATGTTATTCAGGCTGGTAATAACATATTCTTGATTGCTTTAATATATGGGATGATTAATCGTTTTGGGTGGATTATCTAGTATTAGTGCGCAACAATCGTGTACGTCATAGAATCATTCAGCCTAGGGAACCAATCACTACATTAGTATTTTAAAAATATCGAATGTCACAAAATAAAACTGATTTAGTGTAGGATTGTGGAGACTGTTGAGTTTTGATTAAAATCATTAATCGTTCAATGTTGGACCACCATTGAAAACCTGGAAGCACTGGACGACCGTTTCGTCCTAGTATGGAACTCCTCGGCAGTGCAAATCCACAAGCCCTCACACGAACGCTTAATCTCTAGACTACTGATCCGGCACCTAACGGTGTTAACGTCTAACTTCATCCGTGACCAGCGGAGCTAATCCGTATCGTGTGAGAGCAGTTACCCACGGAAGACAATGGAAGATGGTCGTGCGATTTCGTGGATTGGTTGAAGTTAGACATTAACACTGCTGGATGTCGGCTTAGTAGTCTAGAGACTAAGTGTTCGCGCGCGGGATCGCGGATACGCACTGCTGAGGAGTCCCCGTATTATGACGAAACGACCGTTTAGTGCTACTAGTTCTTTAATGGTACTCTAACGTTGATCGACTTATGATCTCAATTAAAACTGATTCATTTTTGAGTTTCATGCAAAAAGGAAAGGATTAAAATTGTTCTTTTGATCATAATTAACTTATCCCTATATTAATTAGAATTACACCACTTTGTCTATCTCTAAGGTTTTAAACATGCACACTGAACACATCATCCAGGTTGATCTCCTCAAGTTATTGTTGAAAAAAAACAATACATTTAATCAAAATGTTTACCCTTGTCTAATCGAAGCAACCGTATCCGATTGAGTTCAACTTGTTGTTCTTGATATGCCAATTGATCTTTAAGTTGATTATATTGATCAACATCTAAAAGAAAAAAAAACATGGTCATCAATCTTGATCGGTCAGCAAACATCACGTCCAATCGTTAGTCACAAATCGTAAATAGCTATATATTTAGTTAGTTAGGAAATGTATATACTAGTTAGTAAACTATTTCGAGAGGGGATTCTTAGGGTTCTAGTGTGAAACCGTAGCTAGTAGAGTTTAACCATATTGAGTTTCAGGTAACTAAGGGATTGTTGTGCAATATCGTGAGTTGATTGAAACTAGAGGTATAAACCATAAGATGCCTAATCAATGGTCTAAAATCTGAACGCTTACAGCTGGATCTGAAGATCCTAGTTATGATTTCTGGTGAATTCGTGGATACGAGCTTCTAAGGAGTTGCTTACTAAGATGAAACAATTGTTCAGAGCTTTCTGGTCAACAATAGTTGTCTACGTTCAGTCCGTAACGTAAACCACAAAATTGAACAGCCTCCAGAAAGATTTGTATACTAGTGAAAAAGTATACAAATATTAATTCCCTCATCAAGTACAGGTTTATGTACTCCGTGCTGAATCATAGATTTATTATTTAAGAGTCAATAATGGTTTCCGTCTGCTGGAGGTTGGTGTAAATAGAGAGAGACCTACTTACACTTTTCGATTGTCCATTTTCTTAAAAACTCAGACATTATACAGCTTTCAATGTTTAGTTCATTTTAATCAGTCAGATGATGTCTACATAAACTGTTTTTTTTACTAATGAAATGATTTAAAGCATATTTAATTTATCGCCATACATTATAATTCCTAGAATATAAATCGATTGAGGGGCGGATAGTGGAATTTTATTTTCCAACGAGAAAGCAAAAACTCATTTGATAAATTTTCTTGAAGTATCGATCTTTACAAACTATAAATGTTTAACGCAAAGGAAAACTGACAAACCACACTCCATACCTAGTCTGTTCCCATAAATTTGAAAGTTGGAAACAAGAGTGAAGTGTATGATAAACTGTATGAATTTGATCAATATATGGTTAATACACATTAAACTTGTTGTGCTGACTGGTTTGACTTTGAAGCGTTGTTTTAAGCATTTAAGAAAGTTTAGTCAGTTGGGATTGTGAGTAGGAGTGAAATTCAGGACGAACATCTCTTCCTATTTTTTGGACTTGTCAGTTAAATGTAAAAATCCTTTTACATCACTATTTATAAATTAATGTAAATTGTATTAAATCACTCACCAGCTACTTGGGAGTGGGCCACACTAATTGCGAGGGCTATTTATACTACCTGCTTATTTAAGCAGAAATATGTGTGGCAGGGTTCAAAACCAGAACTTAGTTGCTAAAAATCGGACGCCTTGAATTTCCGAATAGCCAAGTGTTATCGGGACATAGACTGGATTAAAGAATGCTCAATGTACGATTGCTTTGGTGCACGCTGACTGGCTAATTCTTATCCAATCAACACTGGTCGATACTTGGAGAATACTCTGGAATCTTCTCATGTAAAAACTATAAATATACTAACGTTTTCCCTATTGTGCCTCTTACTTCCATCTAACATTGTTATTTGGAATATAATCTCTTTCCCGTTCAACCATGTTCGGATTTGGGGACTTGTCGAGTGAATCGGTGTCCGAGAATACTATGCAATAGGAATAGCTGGGTCATAACCGTAAGAAAGAGATTATAACACCAAGGCTTCTCATTGCTCTATCTATATTAAAATTAAATTACATCTTACTAAAAAAATAAACGTGTCATTATGGAAACGATTCATAATCTTTGTGGTGAATTGTCAACCAAAAGCCCCCATATGCCCTGGTACAGCCGAGAGTGGGGAGAGTCAGCTCTCCCTCTCCAAATGCTCTCACATGGCCACGCGTATAAAGCCTCTGTTAGGGAAGTCCTACTTACTGCCTTCTTGCACCACGGATGTTGTTTACGAAATTGAGAGGACGAAAAACGAATGTCCGGCGCTTTGGTGGACATGGAGAGTTCGCCTAGGGGAGTTGGAAAACCCTGATTCCAAACCAATGGTACACATTGGCTCAGGTATCCTGCGGGAACAAATGGCGTATGAACCAATTGTTGGTCACCGGCTACCATGGGACTGCATCTCCTTACGTTGCTCCACTGCCTTGTGGATCAGGCCTTCAGGTCGAAGGCTCCGGGTGCGGCCTCCTAAGAAAACCACCTGCTTCGGTCTGGACACCCGGGCAGTATCACAGCCCTCACACATCAAATGAGATTTGTGTGGCACATATGTATTTGGTGCCTCTTTGTACCAATATCTATGTGTTAAAATAAATAAATAAAATAATGTCAACCAACAGTTATTTATTTTTATGTACATCTGTCGATCTTCGCAACATACATACCGAATATTCTCCAAAATGCCATGAAAATAAATTAATGCGAGCTTGACCAGAATTGAAAAACCTCTTTTCTTACTTTCATATGTCATGCCAATGGCTTAGGACTTTTGTTGCATGCTAGATAGTCACTATATCCTACACTAGGATATCTATAGCACTGCGAATCAATTTTACTAATAATTTTAAGCTACTCATGAGTAGTGTGACGTTTAAAAGAAAAAGGTGTGCCCATCAACTATATATGGTCTTCGAGAATACACGTCTAGGACAATATATTCAGTTTATAAATTTTGTAGAAAGGGAGGATATAATGTAAGGATATTTTGTGAATCTTGTAAACCATGGCATAATATAAAGAAAGAACAATCCAGTCCTGCGAAAACAGAAAAATATCGAACTTTAACATTGTACGCGAATAGAAATGCAAAGAGTAGTTACTGATCATTTCGATCGACTACAACTTAGATTAGTATGAGTGGTAATACATAAATTATATATATATATATATATATATATATATATATATATATATATATATTGGAAAACAAGCAGATATTTATCCACTCATACTAATAGACAGATTTATTTGCCAGGTATTTGAAAATGAACCACACTTTAAGTGTGTGGGTTATTGATACTAACTGGTTGCTCTAAACCGAAGTAGTTGAGGCGGCGCTTGAACCTGGGACATAGTTACCTTAACTACTAATCCAACATTCATATTACTCAACAGTATTCATTTCAGTGTCCGACCGCTTTTACGTTTTTCTTAGGCTGAATTTGTATTTGAAAATTGATATTAAAAAGGTGCACTTTAATGGACAGATTTACCGTGAATTGATTGGATTTGTAGGCAGTAAAATGCGAAGAATTTGAAGCAGACTAAAATATGATTATCGCTATGGGGTTCTGGAGATTATCAAGTTTTTGATTGAGGTCATGAATCAATTGATGTTAGATCATCATTTAAAACCTGAAAGCTCTGGACAGCCGTTTCGTCCTATTATGGGACTCCTCATACTGGTAATTACCATGTGCTCACTAGTGACTAGCTTCGTGAGGGAATCCTCGCAGTTCTAGTGAGAAGCCTAGATCAGTGGAGGTAATTCATGACAGGTAGAGACAAGTATCTACCTCAATACAATGAAAGATGGTCGTGCCATTTCGTGGATTGGTTGAAGTTAGACATTAACACCGCTGGATGCCAGCTCAATTGTCTCGAGGTTGATCATTCATGTACGAGACCGAGGGTCCTGGGTTTGAGTCCTGCGTGTGGGATTGTGAATGCGCACTGCTAAGGAGTCTCATACTATGACGAGACGGTCGTCCAATGCTTCCAGGTTTTCCATGGTGGTCTAAAATCAATCGATTTATGACCTCAAATAAAATATGATTGTCGAAAAAGTAGTGTAAAACAAATATAAGTTCTGTAAAGTTTCATCTCAACATGAATAGCGTACCGTGATATGATTTTTCTTCACCAGCAGCACTGGTTACTAAGGTAGAATGAATTAGTTCATGACTAGGATCACAACGATAAATTCTTGATTGCTTTGCAGAGCTAGCATATTGCTGAGCTGGAATCGGTAAGGATGATGAAGTAGAGGAATATAATTCTTTATTTTCAGATGTCACTGGAACATTAGAACGTCGTGATGAACTACGAGAGGGCTGATGAGGACGACTTGTCGGTTGATGATTGGGAATAGGAGGATACGCTTTGGGGATTTTCGGAGAGAAAGGAGATACAGCCTCCAATCGACGAAGAATAAAACATATGTTAGATGGATTTTCTTTAGTTCTGAAAATTTTTAAAACAATCTCACAGTGCAAGCGGCACAGAATACACCAGTATCAATTTTAAAGAAGAAAATGGCTCAGGTTTAAAATATTGATTTTGATGAGTTAAATGGACTGTGGACTGCCAATCATCATCAACATAGAGTCTAGTAGGGTTGTGTACTGGCTCAATTCGCCATACTACATCACCATGACGAGATAGCAATAACGAAAGAAATCGAAATAGTATGGTATCAATGACATTAAGAAAGATTGAGCATTGAGATTATGTTTTGGAAAGTAGTACAATACTTTAAAGATTCAGCCTAAAAGTCAGGCCCATGCTGATTTGAAAACGACTGAACTACAAGTCAATTCTATCCGATCACTTATGACATTTGGTCCTGTTTATATTTTGTATATAAGTGTGTTATCTTATTAAATGAAAAAACTGTCCGTCTGGTTAATGGTCTTTGATTTCTGATAATACGGTTCCATGAGTAGTCAATCACTCGGTCACATTAAAATATTGGGTTAATCTATTGATTAGAATTCTATTAATCGATTTTGACAATCGAAAATTTCTTCTAATCAAATCGGAAAACTTTCGTAACATAAAGACCGAATGAAAAGATATGTATGAAGAAATACTGGAATTGAAGATCGAGGGGAAGATAGAGTGGGTGAATCTGCACTGTTATGAAAGATTCCAAACCATGTCAACTAAATTGCTCAACTAACCAGTACATTTGGGGGCACCACAGGTCACGGTTATCGCACGAACCCGAACGTGAGTAGATGGGATCGCGCTTGTCTCAGGCTCTCATCATTAGCTGAAAACGTGCTCTAGCATTAAAATCCAACGGTACTTATAATCTCTAAACAAAATAACTGTAACTCAGAACTCAGTGCATGAAACTGAAATTGGCCAGTAATTTTACTGATTTTAGTTAGCTTCGTGGTTAAAAAGCTGAAAATTTGTTGGATTATTTCTTTTCTATAAAACTTCAATGAAAAATTTGTAAATATTCCGCTTATGTGGTGGTGAATATTGTCAGAAGCTAAATTAGCGTTTCTACACTACAGGACAATATTGATTAACGTGAGAAACTTGTAATCCAGATACATAAGCAAATAGAATAAAATGAGACTTAGCAGAACATGACTTTGATATAACTCATAAAACTAACAACAGAGGCAACACTAGGAAACTCCATGACTTTTTGAATCGGTAAATAGGACTAAATATATATCCACATAGTGATAAGCGTATACACAGATAATGGGAAGCGGTGATTAAAAGGTTGTGGTATTCGATTGCCAACAACTAAGTTCTAGGCTCAATTCAGTCACCTACAACGTAGAACCAGGCACATATATGCATCGGTCCAAGTTGCCATACATCATTAGCACAACATGATGAACACCAAATTCACAGAAGCAGATACTCAAATGGTACTAATATATAAAACAAAGATGGCATATAAAAATATGATACAGAGAGAAAAAATCAGTTCGTAGGAAGAAAGGTACAACATAATTCAAATCTCACGGTTTCAGGGAAAACAAAGAGTGTATACACCTACGCCATTGTGATTGATTCTAAGCCGTCACACAGAGTCTCGAACCATTGGTTACGATAGTTGCGCGGACCCCAACCAAATAGTCTGCATCTAACAACATGGCTCATATCAAAAGTTAGTGACTTCATGGAATGATGTCACGTTTTGATTTGGACGCCCTTAAATTTCTTCCAACCGTCTCCAACACTAGTCAGCATTGTGCGTCGTGGTCATCGGTGTTCAGACATACGCAACACGTGGCCTAACCATCTCAGTCGATGTAGGTTCACAACCTCATCAACTGGTTTACCATTATCCCCTAATACCATGCGTCTGACCTCACTATTACTTACCCGGTGATCCCAGCAGATGCGAGCAATATTTCTAAGACATCTGTAATCAAATACTAGTAACTTACGAGTATCCTCTACCATTAATGGTCACGTTTCGCAGCCGTAAAGTAAAACAGAACGAACCGCTGTGCGGTATACTGGTTATTTATTTGAACATATAAATATTGGTACAAAGAGACACCGAATATATATGCGCCGCATGATTTGCATGTATACTGGTCCCTTAGTTGAGACGGATATCTCGCCTTCGCTATAAGTGACGTAAGTTGGCAAAAGCCAAACGAGCTTTTTGAATCCGGGTAGAGATTCCGTCAGACATCAACCCATTAGGGCTGATCAGACTTCCGAGATAAGTGAAGTTGTTGACGCCTTCGACTTCTTCACTCTTTATCGTTAGCTCGTGTGTTGAAGCAGGCCTTTCTTGAATCAACGATTTGCATTCAAAGGGGGAGAAACACATTCCAACATCCTGGCGCTGTTTTTCTGTACTTCCAATAGACTTAGCATTTTACCAATGTCTTCACTAAACAGGGATCCGTCATCTGCATATTCTAGGTCGATAAGTGAACCTCCTCGAGTGATATCGATTCCTGAAAATTCAGTCGACGAGAACGTCATTTCCTTCAGTACGTCTATTATGAATTTAAACAAAAATGGATATAGTGGACAGCTTTGCCGGACACCACTTGAGGTTGCAACATCAGATGACAGTTCTCCACAAGCTCGGACTCTACTGATCGTGTTCGAGTAAAGAGCCCTCACGAGGTTTATATACTTCTGAGGTACACCTTCCAATGACACACTGCCACAGAACCTCTCGGTCTACAAAGTAAGGTGCTGCTTTTAAATAAAGAAAAACTGTCATTTTCGGACGCCTATGAGTATGCCTGTGTTCTAAAACCTGACGAATGGTGAATATGTGGTCGGTAGAGCCACAACCAGGTCTGAAGGCAGCCTGATTTTCTCGTGTTTGCAGTTCACGGATCTTTGTTAGGCGCCTGATAATTGCTGAGGCTAGTATTTTAGATACTATGTTAGTCAAACTAATCCCCCTATGGTTGTCACAGGATGATTTGACCCCTTTTTATATATTGGGCAATAAGTGATTGTGAGCAGTCAGATGGGATTACGTCCAACTCCCAGATTTTAGCTAAAATATTAGTCGACCTAATCGCTAGAACTGGATCACCATACTTAAAGACTTCTGGAGCCAATCCATCTGAACCAACTGCTTTTCCTCGTTTCAGATTAGCTATAACCTTTTAAACTTCAGTTAAAGTCGGTGGGGGGGAGAACCTACTTCAATGTTCCATTCACACTGTCTGGGAATGATGGGTAGTTGCAAAGTAGCGAAGTCCAGCCGAACTGCTTCTCAAAGTGTTCCGCCATCGTTCTAAACGTCTGGACTGGGAGCAGATAAGAGTGCCATCTCTTTCCAAGATAGTCTCACACTTGATTTATTAATCCCAGTTTCTTTTATATCTGTAGAGCTGTCTTGTGTTACCTACAGCCGCCGCCTTTTCCATCTCTTTTGCTTTCGTTGTCCACCTTAGGCTTTTGGTTTACCCAGAGCTGATTTGTTTTCGCTCTTTATTGTGTTCAGAGCCTGATGGGATGAGTTCACGAGAAGCCATCAGTGGGTCGTCTTAATAGCCCTTACACTTCAATTTCGGCTCATGCTAAAGTACTTGGTCAGTGACTTGATTTAATTAATTTACTATATCTGTAAGCTATCTACCACAAAAAATGTATCTGTCGGGGTACGTTATCGATTAAAAAGCTACTCATTATCTCGTGTAGACAGAAAAAGTACTTACAGATGAGGTTCTTGAAAAAGCATATTATACTGTATCGAATGGGACTAAATTATGAACATTTAAGGATTTACAATCAAGGCACCAGAAACGTTCTTCCTTCAAACATATTCGTTCTACTGAAAATTGTCAACACGATGGTTACGAAAAAGGATCTCAACATAGAAAATTGAAAAATAAAGCTAAGATATAATATTATTAAGTGTGATTCAGCCGTGAAGTTTGACAAAACGAAAATTTTGTCAGTACTAATAATAACTAGATGTATTCGTTAAACGGTTTCATGAACTTGAAACTCAGTCGTCGACAAACAGACACCAAGTCACTCAGTCATCGCCGAATAATTTTTTTCAACATAGTCCAAAGTTATGATGAGTCATAACTGATGTAATTGCGCATATCAATCTTCAGAAATATATTCCGTGAAACCTCCCTTAGTGGAACTAAAATTTTTAAGGAATTCCCTCTAGAAGAACAAAATTGGATAATTCTATTCATGTAATCTAGTTTTCTGAGAAATGCATTACTTGGATTGTTAGCAATGCATGGAGATTCAATCACAATTTACTCCTTTTATTTGCTTGTTCCACCAACTATTAGACTTTACTAACTTGTATTTGATAGAACGGAAAAGCTGAGACATAGATCAGAAGTTGGTCACTTCATATCTCCATACCTTTATTAACTCAACTAATCAACCCTCGAACAACAGTCATAATTCGTATCCTGGTGTATGGAATTATTTCGGTTTTTCAAGATGCATTCGTCTAACAATTACTGAGACAAAGTGGAATCTAGTATGGTGGGAGGAATGTAAGGCAATCAAATTCATTGGAGTAGAAATTTACAACAGATTGTATTGAGTGAGTGCCATTGAATATGAATGGAAGTTGGTTGCCAAGATCTCTCATGTTTCTGGGAAAATTCAGTAACAAATTTTGTTTACCAGGTAGACCTACAAAAGATGAAGAATGAGTTTATTTGAGCCACTGCCACCAATGCTGTGCAGTCTCATTTATTATCAACTCTTTGTCGTAAGGACCGCAACTAGGTGTCATGTATTTACTAACATGGCTCAGGCCAACAATGATTTCATTGACTGTTTCTACACCTTTATTTGGCTGCCCCTAACTTTCTTGTATTTCCAAAAACTAACTTGCCAGTTCAAAAAACAGATTTAGTTTGCAGAACAGAGACAGCACGGTCACAATAGGTTTCCAAACTTTTCTAGGGTAGTTCACTTTGTATGAGTATAAAATTAGTCTTTGACTTAGTTAAAGCCATACTGATCAATCAGTAGCCGAACTACATTGATAGCAAAAAGCATTAAATCAGTTGTGCTCTGCAGAAAATATTTGCCTAGTTTATTGATGACTTCACAGGTATTCAAGGCACCACGTAGAGAAAAACATCTCTACATTTACGCTAAAAAATCAGTTTTCTTCACGGCGACCCCTAAGAAAGCAAAATTTTCTGCAACTTTCACCGGTGAGACCAAATATTCCTCGAAATTGCGTACATATAACGGTATACTTTTGTAAGTCTCCCTGGTAAACAATATTTGTTACTGAATTTTCCCAGAAACATGAGAGATCTTGGCAACCAACTTCTATTCATATTCAATGGCACTCACTCAATACAATCTGTTGTAAATTTCTACTCCAATGAATTTGATTGCCTTACATTCCTCCCACCATATTAGATTCCACTTTGTCTCAGTAATTGATAGACGAATGCATCTTGAAAAACCGAAATAATTCCATACACCAGGATACGAATTATGACTGTTGTTCGAGGGTTGATTAGTTGAGTTAATAAAGGTATGGAGATATGAAGTGACCAACTTCTGATCTATGTCTCAGCTTTTCCGTTCTATCAAATACAAGTTAGTAAAGTCTAATAGTTGGTGGAACAAGCAAATAAAAGGAGTAAATTGTGATTGAATCTCCATGCATTGCTAACAATCCAAGTAATGCATTTCTCAGAAAACTAGATTACATGAATAGAATTATCCAATTTTGTTCTTCTAGAGGGAATTCCTTAAAAATTTTAGTTCCACTAAGGGAGGTTTCACGGAATATATTTTTGGAAAAAAGATTAGTTTGAAGATAACCTCCTGACGGACACGCACGGGAAGCTTTTGCTCTCAGTTTTATGAAATTACTCCTTTAGTTCTGTTTATAGTAATCCACTCCACAAGTTTTCAGAAAATACCCACAGAACTTTCTAATTTATCATTCTTTCCTATAAGACGACAGTAATATGTCTAAAACCTACTACTCGGTTTTCTAAAAGGGTGCAGAAGAGAAACAAGTTTACTTTCTGATAAATTTTCAGGTTCACAAGAAAGATTACTGTTAGAAAACAGTAAAATCTTATGTAATTTCATTTGGAGGTTACGTTACTGAGCAAACTACTAGGCTTATTTTAAAGAACTACTGATAAAACCAGAATATGCCACCTCAAACACATATAAAACTAAAGTCAAAATCAGCACTAAGGTTAACTTATTTGTGCTTTAAATGATAATTAGTTTTTAACTAGATAAATTATCATACTCTTTAATGAAATTTATAATTTTCTCCTCTGGAGATAGTGTAATTTCTTTATCTCTGCAGCTGGCAACCAGAGTATAGAATCCAGGCAAACTGGCAATCTGTGCAAGCTTAAAAATCACTTCTTCACATGTTGTTCCTTCATTAATCCCACACACTTCTCTGAGTACTCCATCGATGTTAACCTTGATGTCCATAAGTACGACCCTGCAATGATGCAGTCAAACAAACCAGTTCCCCCTACCAGTGGCTATAACATTAAGCAATTTGGTCTTTAGCATAGATAATAGACATACTCATGATGTATTGGATAAAACCGTGATTTATTTTTGGTGGATATTCAGGTTTCAAACTTGATATATCGGGACTAAAATGCACACTGTAGGGATAATTAGTTTCAGTTTGGAAAGGACAGCAGGCTAGATGGCCTTTGTTTGTCCTGGAAGTGGTGTTAGCTCAGTTAATCCAACGTCTGTTGGTAATTCTTTGTCTTTCAGAGGGCACCAATTTTCACGAGCTACTAATAAGTCAATGAGATAGGAATAATGTATTCTGAAGCCGTGCTACTTTTCAGAAAGAATCCGGTTTTCATCAAGATACATAAACAGCTTCTTCTAAACAATCCTTTCCAGTATTTTAAAAACCACGCTAGTGAGGCCAACTGGTCGGCAGTTCTGAGATATATGTTTCGTACCTATTTTTAAGACAGGACTTAACATGGCGTTCTTCCAGTCTTTTGGTAATCGATACTGCGTTACGGATAGATTAAAACATATGCTCATGGGGTTCCTACCGAAATTTGTTGGTTCCTTGAGTAACCTGTGGTGCATTTCATCGGGTCCCGTGGGTTTGCCTATACTAAGTTTATTTAGCAGACGAAGACCTCGAGTTATTTAATGGCCACATTGTCCATTGTATTTGTGTGAGGATTTTTATGGACTAGCGGTGTATCCCTACGGTCTAAACATTGCTAGAGTAGTTTGATAATACTTGAGCTTTACCACAGTCGTCCTCCACTAAAGATGAAGCATTGCTGTCGCCCCACAGTGCTGGGATATTTCTTCTTCTCTTAGTCATTTGGTATTTTTACGAATACAAGCGTCTAAGCATTCTATAGATTCTTTAACAATTTTTTTCCGTATAACCTTCAAGACTCACGGCGGGTCGAGGCACAAATATTCCTAGCTTCACGATATTGATATTTTGCCTCATCAGCACTCAGTAACTTAAATCTTCCGTGCATTCTTCTCCTACACAGAAGGGTGAGAACTTCCCTTTTGAGCCATGGTGGCGAGTTTCTTGGACCACATGGTGTTGTCCAAGTGATGTGGGGTGCAGTAACTTTTAAGTACAAATTTTGAAATACGACTGGGTCTCCGGCTCTATCGTTCAATCTACTGACGATGCTAAGTACATAAAATGTTCTGTATTTTCTTTTTGGACGTTAAGTCTGGGTTTGGCCGACGCCTGTCCGTCGTTGACAGCTGTATGGAAATCAAGGATTAGAACTTTATGACTACATCTACCTGAGGGTGGCGTGTAATCGAGCTTTGTGGCGTCATCCTCATAATGGGTCAATATAATATGTGGTAAGGAGGATTCAAAGTTTAAGTCTTACATAGTCGCTTCTTTCACATGTTGCACTTGGGCACATGTGATAACCGCATCAGCTAGTTCCTGTTCGAAGGTATTTTTTAACAATTCAATGCTCAGGTTTTTCCAGTCTATTGTGGGTGCGTCAAAGTGTTCTAGGATTAGACATTGATCACTATATAACCAAATATTGAGACCATTTAACAAGACCTCATTTACCTCACAGCCCAGCATTTTTTGTCCCTTGCATTTTAAGCGGCAACTAGCTGATTCACTCTCATGGGATACACTGTCGCTAATGGCAAGTGGGATAATAATCCTGATAAATAGGGTTACCCCTCCTTTATGCTTCCGGATTCTGTCGGCTCTTACTAACGTGGGACCTTCAAAATCGAGTTTCATACTGTCTGTGGGCTGCGTCAGCCAAGTTTCTGTGACTGTCATTACATTCGGCTTGATAAGCCTAGTTCCGTTCGCTTGTTCAACAAGCTTTGGGCATTTGTATATCAGGATCAAAGCTTAATTAAATGACTCCATGATGCACCCGAAGTGGCTTCAGCATCATTCCCTGTTGAGGCATTACAACCCAAAAATATAAGTCTTTTTCGTTAGCATCTAACCAAAGTTTTAGTTGTTTTTCGGCCCCTTTCACACCGTCTACGAACGGCAAATCCTTACGGACAAACACTTCTTGCCCACTAAGTTTGTGCCCATTCCGTAGTACTAAGTTCCGTTCATTAGTAGATTTAAATATTACATTAAGCAGTCTGGTCTGATCCTGTTTCAAGTTTATTTGGATATCTAGTCTAAACAGATTTAGCAAGGTAACTCTGAAGATATCCTGTGGCATTAGCTCATTTAGTAGATCTTTGATCAACTTAACATCGTGCTCAAAACGAGTTTTAGGTTCTGAGCGCTACCACTCTTTGATTCTATGAAAAATAATAGACCCATCACCATCGTCTGTTACTCCTCGTGGAGGAGCATAGGCTGACACCGGCACTCTTCATTCAACCATGACTTGGGCAATCCTTTCCAGTTGCTATTGATCCTTTCCATGTCTGCTTCTGATTCCCGGCGTAGTGTGTTCTTCGACCTTCCTCTTCCCCTTTTCTCTTCAAGGTTCCAAGTTAGCGCTTGCTTCGTGATGCAGCTTGATGATTTCCGTAATGTATGTCCTATCCACTTCCAACGTCTTTCCCTAATTTCCTCTTCAGCTGGAGGTTGGTTTGTCCTCTCTCACAGTAGGGAGTTGCTGATGATTTCCGGTCAACGGACATTGAGTATCTCGCTTGCACAACTGTTTATAAATACTTGTACTCTTTTGATGATGATTGTAGCAGTTCGCCATGTTTCAGCTCCGTACAATGGAACTGTCTTGACGTTCGCATTGAAGATTCTGACTTGCATTGTCTGATAGTTGTTTTGAGTTACATATGTTCTTGAATTGTAGGAATGCGGCCCTTGCTTTGCCAATCCCCATCTTTACGTCTACACCAGATCCTCCACTTTCATCGATTATGCTTCCCAACTTCGTGAAAAATTCCACATCTTACAGGGCTTTTACATCAAGTGTGATTGGATTGGTGTTTTCCGAATTGTATTTGAGGAGCTTACTTTTTCCTTTGTGTATTTTGAGGCCCATTGATGCAGAGACTGCTGCTACACTAGTTGTATTTGTTCGTGTGTATAGGATAGAAGAGCGAGGTCATCTTCTAGGTCAAATCACCTAGTTGCATCCAACCTGTCCATTTTCTTCCACAAATCAAGTAACTTGTGTAGCACATATGAATTCGGTGCCCCTTTGTACCGATATTTATGTGTTCAAATGAATAAATAATACCAGGGGTTTTTGTTTGGATTATGTTTTCTGGTAACTAGCAGGGAAATACAGTAAATTAGAGAGACCGGTCAAGAACAAAGAAGGCAGGATAATCACTGAAATACAACAACAGAGGAACAGATAATTAGAATACTTTGAGAAACTCCTGAATGGGCCGGCTCTAATGAATCTACCGGATATCGAAGCAGCACACACAGATCTTCCTATAAATGTCAATACACCAACGACGAAAGAAGTCAGAATGGCCGTCAGACAAATCAAGAGTGGGAAAGCAGCAGGACCCGACAGTATACCAGCTGAAGCACTGAAGTCAGACATCGAAGTAACTACAAACATGCTTCGCCTTCAATTCAAGAAGATTTGGGAGGAGGAGGAAAAAGTGTTGATGAACTGGAAAGAAGGACACCTCATCAAGATTTCAAAGAAAGGAGATCTCGGCAAGTGTAAGGACGACTGAGGCATCACATTACTGTCAGTACCAGGAAAAATCTTTAACAGAGTGTTGCTGAACCGGAAGAAATACGCAGTGGACGCACAACATCGAGATCAACAAGCTGGATTCTGTAAGGATCGATCGTGCACAGACTAAATCGCGACACTACGGATCATCGTTGAACAATCAATCGAGTGCAGCAGAAGTCTCTGTATCAGTAGGCCTCAGCATACACAAGGGAAAAACCAAAGTCCTTAAGTTCCTGATTTCCTCTACAGCTGGTTTGTTCTCTACCACAGAAGGCTATTACTGATGGTATCCGGCAAATGGATGTTGAGTATCTTGCGTAGGCAGTTATCATCAAGAAGGTGCAAGTATTGATAAATAGCTGTCTACGCAAGATACTCAACATCCATTGGCCGGATACCATCAGCAGCAGCCTTCTTCATCTTCCAGATGAAGAAGAAATTAGGAAAAGACGATGGGAATAGATAGGACATACATTGCGCAAATCGTCAAACTGCACCATGAGACGAGCCCTAACTTGGAATCCTGAAGGGAAGCGGAAAAGAGGAAGGCCTAAGAATACATTACGTCGGATAACAGAAGCAGATATGAGAAAAAATGAATAACAACTGGAAGGAGCTGGAAAGGATTGCCCAGGACAGGGTTGGACGGCGAATGCTGGTGAGCGGCACCAGGCAGGCGTTTTTGTGGAGATTGTAGGTCCCAGGTTCGAATCCCACGAGGCAGGGTCGTGGATGCGCACTGCTGAGGAGTACCACAATAGGACGAAACGGCCGTTCAGTGCTTCCAAGTTTTCCATGGTTGTCTATCTTCAATTGACTCATGATCTCAACTATTGAAATAAATAATAACCTGTTCGTTGTATTACATGCTTCCCACCAGATGTCGAGGTCTTCATAATCCAATCGACCACCAGAAGAAAGAGGAAGGAAGAGAGTAAGCAATCTCGTCTGACACCCGTCTTCACTTGTAATGCGTCTGTCAGCTGTCCCTCATGCCACACTTTGCACTGTATTCCGTTTTATGAATTCTAGATGATGTTGACGATCTTCTCATGTACACTATAATGTCGAAGAAGGCTCCATAATGCTCTCCTGTCCGCACTGTCAAATGCCTTCTCATAGTCAATGAAGTTGATGTATAGTGACGAGTTTCATCCAACTGGTTGTTCATCGATGATCCGTAGTGTCGCAATTTCGTCTGGCACGACCGGTCCTTGCGGAATCCAGCTTGTTGATCTCGAAGTTGGGCGTCCACTGCATCTTTCGTACAGTTCGGAAACACTGTTGAAAACTTTTCATGGTACTGATAGTAGTGTAATCCCTCTCGCACTTGCTGAGTTCTCCTTTCTTTGGTATCTTGATGAGGTGTCCTTCTTCCTAGTCCACCGGCACTTTTTCCTCCTCCTCCCAAATCTTCTTGAATAGGAGGTGAGGAATATTTGTAGTTATTTTGATGTCTGACTTCAGTGCCTAAGATGGTATATTGTCAGGTACAAAAGTGTTGGATCCCCATATTCCTAAGTTACAATTACTTTGACTTTATTTTAAACACATTTTTCACGTTGAACAGAGGATCTACGAAAAGTGACTAAATGGTGAGGATTAAGGACGCTTGATATGAGGTTATCAAGGTTTGATTCTTCTGAAACGGCTTCCTCATATTTATTGAGAATCTCATTAGTAGACAGTGGGTCTCTATGATAATCAGCATCCATCAAAACTGCATCAGGTTCTTGATTATCATTCGATGCATCTGACATATTTTCCTCATTTTTATAAATTTTTTTATCATGAACATGTGAATCACTAAGATAACTCATACCTGGTGAAACAAGAGAATCATGATGACTAGATCCATCGGAAACTTCTATCGCAGAATGATGAGCTCTATTTGGTGCACCTGCATTGATTGTAATGCTCGATTTATTTTCTGTTTCTTTGTAGACAGTTACTGCGACAATTTCATGAACATTTAACAGGGCACTGTCCTTTTGTGAGCTGGACAAGTCACTGTTTGTGCATTCTGTTCCAGGGATAATGGGATTTGAACCCACTACAGGGCATGTCTCTAAAATGGACGTTTCTGGACCACTGGGCGGATCTTGAGTGACTGCTACTGCTTCGTTTACTTTACAGCTTATCAAGGATTCATGGAGGCTTTCATCGACACGTTTGTACGTTCTGCAGTCATTTTCTAGCTCTGTATGCAAATTGGAAATTAATTCATCAACTTCTGTCACATCTCCAAAGCATGGGTGATTCAGCAGCCGTGTGCGTAAATTGTCTATAAAGTTTAATTGGTTCTTTTTGAAACACTGCTGTTGTTGCTAAAATGGCAACTGCAATTGATCGGGGGAGATTTCCATTTTCTGTTTCTGTATGAATCAGAACAGTAATAGAAAACACAGCCAACCAACCAATGTCGTTCAAGGACACCGAAGAAAAATCTGTATGCTGATTGTTCGGAATAAATACACTGAATTTCGTCCAATTACAGGCTGACCTTCATTATTTATTTTGAAGATTGAGGGTTCAGAATTTTTTCCACCCGTTGCTAATTTTTGTAACTTGTGCCCTGTGTCTTATTAATGCATAACATAATGATACCGTCAACTAGAGAACAGTGAATTATCGATCGAACAAATGACGCATAAAACCCGTACGAGCAGCTAAGAGCCCTTATCGGTCCTGCTTCCCACCTAGCCCAGCCTGTTAAGTCCACTCTCTGAGATATGAGTCATTTATTTCAACCATACTGCGTTTATATACAACCAGACAGACCACATTGTACCATAAAATATGAAACAACATTTGTATAAGATTTAGCCAAATATAGCTGTGAATGAGGGAAATAGTAATTAAAAGATAGGGCATAACTCAAGAATGGTAAATCGTATGATAATAGTCTGTGGATCAAAATGTAGCTTATGATATAAGGAAGATGAATATGAATAGTTTAGCTACTTATCAATTATAGGATAAAAATGTATGTATAGTATTTGTCCATAAATGGATCTCGAAACTTATCATTCATTCTCAACGGGATATAACAGAAACACACTAACATGCCATATGAATGGAAGGTGGCTTGAAAATTTCCGGTTAAGATAAATAAGGGGCCGCTTTATTTGCTCTAAGTGCAGTTTTGTAGATTTTGTGGTCAATAAAAAGTGCTTTATCATACTTTTCGACAAATAGTCTCAAATCATCCGAGTTCACTGGAACAGTGTAGCCGTCCGACCTACGTACGCCCCTAACCCAATCCAACTCTAAACTGATAGTGCGGCTATCTTGCTTCCTCAGTAATCTCGGAGGGAAGTTTGAATCTTACTAGATTGATGATTTGTTTGGCGCCAAAGATTTCTAAATTACAGTGATAATAGTTGATGAACAAACTATGCTGTGTACTGAACTCTCGAAGTTAATGGAGTAATACTTGTTACAATCCCTAATATTGACTAATCATGGTGAACAACGCAACAATCAGGAACCGATTTTCTGACGCTAGGATATATTCAACGTTAGAGAATGGTTTGGATAGTGATATGAAGGAGGAAAATGTAGGACTAAGTAATTAGCTATATTTATTGTCTAAAGCAGTCAATCTATTGGTTTTCCACCTTGTAAGTTTCCATCGTATTACTGATTCACTAATTTTAAATAATGCCAGTCCAATGCATTCAAATTTATTTACTGGCTAGACATTTGTAGTCACATACATATGTCGTACACTTCGATGTCGTTTTAATCAGTTGTAGATCAGTGATAAATGAGTGATAAAATCTGTGTTTGTTGAATAATTAAATTTCTAGATGCAGTCATACGTTCTTCTTTTCTTTGAGCAATATCAGTCTTCTGTTTAACAAATAAAGAGTAACAGTTTCTTCCTAGTCACAGTAGACATCCATATCAGTAGTAGTATCATCATTTTCATTCAAGTCAGTCCAACCAATTCTCAGTATTACTTCACTAATCTTGGAACCTGTCCCTCATTTCATTGAGTTAATATGGAATGAAGTCGTTAAGATCTGTTTGGTAGTTAAGAGTGAGATATTATACCAGACCATTCGGGGCACAGAAATATGATTGACAGCACTAAAATTGTCGACTAAGCAGAAAGAATTAAAAGCTGAATATGTTCAAGAATGCGTGCTTGAATTTATTGTTCTCGGCTCAAGACAGTTTCTCTGTAGTTAAACTGGTTATCTTGGTAATATTTAAGTAAGCATCTTATTAGGTATAAGGAGTGTTAGAAAGACAATATATTATAATGTTTAACCGTGAATGGATTTTTATATGACTGAAATTAAAACTGGTCGACAGCATGATATTTTTCGAAGTATAAAATGACAGTCTTCCTCAGACCTAACATAACTTCATCTCATTTTATAACTTCAAAACACATTACATTTTGTTTGGTTTATGTTCACATGAACCAGACTCTGAAATTTAGCTGACCTAATGTTAAGGAAGTAGAAATAGGAAAAACAACCATATGTATTAATCATATTGCAACAGATAGCTGGTTAAATGCATTGCTGTCGCGTTTTGTTGGTGACTGTGACGTGTAGATCGATATCAAGACTTTCGGAAACCAAAATTAGAAATCACGTAATAGTTTAACTTGAAAAGACCGAAATGTAAAGTAGTTCAGGAAGCATATAAACTTCGTTTTTCCAACTTTAATAATATGTTATACAGAAGGTGTCAATAATTAGATAGAAATAGATAATCATTATGACATGTACAAATCGTTACTTGTGTTTAATGTTGATAAACGTTTCTGAGATATTAAAACAACTGTACTCCAATAATGTCAGTCTATTTTGAAGTGAATAGTATTTTAAAATTATAAGAAATTCAATTGGAGCCATTCTTCTCTACAGAGATTTAGAATAGTTCGATAAAGTTTAAAGAAAATAAATGAAGTAGGCAGAAGAGAAATGAAAAATATCATTGTCTTTTATTCAATGTTAACTAATCAACAATTGTAGGTCATTAATCATCAGGATTAAGTGAAATAAATGTGCCTTTACTACCCATTGTAGTACCTTCAATATCTTTATATTCACGCATGTAATTCTGAGCGGAAAGTGGACGTTTAGATTCATCGACTTTTATAGAACTTAGGCAACATGCCTTTGAATAAAATGTCTTGAAGTTTTTTTTATCTAAAGCTTTAAAAAATGAGAAATAGAAAAAAAAACAATATAAGATGATAAATATTAAGTTTCCTATGTAAATTGACACGACATACCAAGATTATCTATGTCTAAAAAATAAATCCACTACAGCCCCAATCAATAATTCAATCAATGGTTCAGAAACTGTATCAAAGTTACACTGAATTCTATATCAGTTACCTATCTGTCCAATAGTCAAATTTCAATATGATGATATGAGCATTAGTTTATATTAATTAGTCAATAACTAAACACATGTATACAATTTACAGCGTCAGTAGATTGAATGGCACTAAATAACAATATAATGAATTAATGGGTCGTATACTTACTTCTTCCTGATAGCCTTCAGTAAGTATTCAGCAATAAAGTGTGCAAAGAATTTTAAGCGAAATTACACTCCACTTCGAATTCGATGTTATATTGTTCAGTTTTTGAACTTAGAAATCTATCGTTATCATTTTTCTACTTATAGGTAGTTTTAAGTAACCTGAAACGGGACTTATATTTTCCTTCACTCGAAAATTCGTTCGCAAACATATCGTGATAGTTCGACTACTAAGAAAATATTAGTTTCTAATTGATGAGCCCTATACGACAACTTTCATTCAGAACACTTACAACATTGTAACTACACCATTTTCTTAGCGTACCTATCACCTTCTTACACTGTATACCGAATACGATTCTTTGTTTACAGGAATGATGACTGTTTTTGTGTATGGTCTAATCAAAATGTTGTACAATGAGATTATGCTTTTTGTTTGCATCATATTCATCATTTTATTAACATCTTTGTGACAAATGTTCAAAAAGAACATCTCGTCAGATAATTTACTCTTTTTTTTGAAATACTGAATTATTATTTGTATCAAAACTCCGCCTGGAGTCCCTCCGGGGGCTACTGCCGGTCCCAAGCCCGGATAAAGGAGGAGGGTTGGGCATGGGGTTAGCGTCCCCATCCCGTAGAAAACTAACTCGCTAAAAAAACGCTAACCAGAAAAAATTATTCAAACCTTTTAAACTCTGCCCTGGGAGTCAGAAGGTCTTCATTTAGAAGAATTATGACGCCTCATGATGAAAGCCGAATTCCTTCGGAAGTTACGAGGCCGATGCCCCTTCTGACAACCAGAGCGACCATTTATTTAGGTACATGGAATGTTCGTACAATGTGGGACACCGGAAGAGCCTTCCAAATTGCTGCAGAAATGAGAAGATACAACCTAGAGGTACTTGGGATCAGTGAAACACATTGGACACAAGTTGGACAACAACGACTAACTACAGGAGAGCTCCTGTTATACTCCGGCCATGAAGAAGAAAATGCACCACATACACAAGGAGTTGCATTGATGCTGTCCAAACAAGCGCAAAATGCGCTTATAGGATGGGAATCTCATGGACCAAGGATCATCAAAGCCTCGTTCAAAACAAAGAAAGAGGGCATTTCAATGAACATCATCCAATGCTATGCGCCTACCAACGACTACAATGAAGACGCTAAAGATCAATTCTACAATAGGCTGCAGTCAATCGTCGAGAAGTGCCCAACAAAGGACCTGACCATTCTGATGGGAGATTTCAACGCCAAGGTTGGAACGGACAACACTGGATATGAAGACATCATGGGACGACACGGACTGGGAGAAAGAAACGAAAATGGTGAGAGATTTGCAAATCTATGTGCCTTCAATAAGCTGGTCATAGGCGGCACCATATTCCCACATAAACGCATACACAAAACCACATGGACTTCACCGGATCACTATACACAAAACCAAATCGACCATATTTGCATCAACAAAACGTTCAGGAGGACTATAGAGGACGTGAGAACCAAGAGAGGAGCTGATATAGCATCAGATCATCACTTGCTGGTCGCCAAGATGAAATTGAAACTCAAGAAGCACTGGACAACGGGGCGGACAATATCACAAAAGTTCAATACGGCCTTTCTTCAGGATACTAACAAACTCAACAAATTCAAGATAGTCCTCAGCAACAAGTTCCAGGCCTTTCATGATCTACTCAATGGAGAAGGAACTACTGTGGAGAGCAACTGGAAGGGGATCAAAGAGGCAATCACTTCAACATGTCATGAGGTCCTGGGTCACAAGAAGCACCATCACAAGGAATGGATCACTGTTGATACACTGGATAAGATTCAAGAAAGAAGGAACAAGAAGGCAGCAATCAATACCAGTCGAACAAGAGCAGAAAAAGCCAAGGCACAAGCTGAATACACAGAAGTAAACAAACAAGTGAAGAGGAGCATCAGAACCGACAAACGTAAATATGTGGAAGATTTAGCAACGACGGCGGAAAAGGCTGCAAGAGAAGGAAACATGAGACAACTGTATGACACGACAAAGAAACTCTCTGGAAATCGCCGCAAACCAGAACGACCAGTGAAAAGCAAGGAAGGCGAGGTAATCACCAACATTGAAGAGCAACAAAACAGGTGGGTAGAACACTTCAAAGAACTCTTGAATCGACCAGCTCCACTGAACCCACCCAACATCGAAGCAGCACCCACGGACCTCCCAATCAATGTTGGCCCACCAACAATTGAAGAAATCAGCATGGCCATCAGACAAATCAAGAGTGGCAAAGCAGCAGGACCGGACAACATCCAGCAGAGGCACTAAAAGCAAACGTAGCAGTAACTGCAAGGATACTCCACATTCTCTTCAATAAGATTTGGGATGAGGAACAAGTACCAAAAGACTGGAAAGAAGGACTTCTGATCAAAATACCGAAGAAAGGCGATCTCAGCAAGTGTGATAACTACAGGGGCATCACTCTTCTCTCAATACCGGGAAAAGTCTTCAACAGGGTATTGTTAAACAGGATGAAGGACTGCGTAGACGCCCAACTTCGTGACCAACAGGCAGGATTCCGTAAGGATAGATCGTGTACAGACCAAATCGCAACTCTACGGATCATTGTGGAACAATCAATTGAATGCAATTCATCACTCTACATCAACTTCATTGACTACGAAAAGGCATTTGATAGCGTGGACAGAACAACACTATGGAAACTTCTTCGACACTACGGAGTGCCTCAGAAGATAGTCAATATCATACAGAGTTCATATGATGGATTACACTGCAAAATTGTGCATGGAGGACAGTTGACAAAGTCGTTCGAAGTGAAGACCGGTGTTAGGCAAGGTTGCTTACTCTCACCCTTTCTCTTTCTCCTGGTGATCGACTGGATCATGAAGACGTCAACGTCTGAAGGGAAGCGCGGGATACAATGGACATCTAGGATGCAGTTGGATGATCTAGACTTCGCAGAAGATCTGGCCCTTCTATCCCAAACGCAACAACAGATGCAGGAGAAGACGAACAGTGTGGCAGCAGCCTCAGCAGCAGTAGGTCTCAATATACACAAAGGGAAAAGCAGGATTCTCCGATACAACACAGAATGCACCAATCCAATCACAATTGACGGAGAAGATTTGGAAGATGTAAAAACCTTTACGTATTTGGGCAGCATCATTGATGAACAGGGTGGATCTGATGCAGATGTGAAGGCGCGGATCGGCAAAGCAAGAGCAGCATATTTACAAGTGAAGAACATCTGAAACTCAAAGCAACTGTCAACCAACACCAAGGTCAGGATTTTCAATACAAATGTCAAGACAGTTCTACTGTATGGGGCAGAAACCTGGAGAACTACGAAAGCCATCATCCAGAAAATACAGGTGTTTATTAACAATTGTCTACGCAAAATACTTCAGATCCGTTGGCCGGACACTATTAGCAACAACGTACTGTGGGAGAGAACAAACCAGATCCCAGCGGAGGAAGAAATCAGGAAGAAGCGCTGGAAGTGGATAGGACACACATTGAGAAAAGCACCGAACTGCGTCACAAGACAAGCCCTCACATGGAATCCGGAAGGTCAAAGGAAAAGAGGAAGACTGAAGAACCCATTACAATGAGAATTGAAGACAGACATGAAAAAAAAGAAAAATAATTGGATGGAATTAGAAAAGAAGGCCTAGGACAGAGTGTGTTGAAGAATGCTGGTCGGCGATCTATGCTCCATTAGGAGTGACAGGCGTAAGTAAGTAAGTAAGTAATTTGTATCAACCTGATCCATCCTGTAAAATTGGAGTTTATCTTATAGTTATTCTCAGAATATATTTTCTTATTATTCATATTATTATTATACTCTTCAGATTATCTGGTTGAGGTTAAGACAATGGAAATACTCAGAAATGATTGTAACTTAACATGAACAGTGTAGAATCTAACCAAAATATGCATCAAATAGGTTTTCATCAGAAAAATAGATATTCATAGGCGAAAACGAGGTTATTAATATAATAATAGAATCATTAATAATAAAATAACTAAACCAAGATAATCTAGTTCAAACTGTTAACAGCCATATCGATACATATCATGACTATCATGCTAATATTGATCAGGAAATCTACGTTATCTCACTCCTTCCCAATAAGTAGTTAATCTGTTGATTTGACTTTTCCAGTCCTTTCATCATAGTTTTATGCTAGCCATCGGTGCATAACACGATAGATTGTGGTTAAGTATGAGTAAAACCTTATCAAGCTTGACTGAAACTACTTTAAACTAAATATCCACCTTCATTTAGAAAGATGCAAATTTTTACATTTTATGCGAATAGATTAACCCACAAACAATCATTTGCACATAATAATGAGAAACAAAACCGGTTATGCAGCAGATAAATTAGTAGTTCTCTGAAGTTATAGAAGATGGATTATGAGTATAAAAATCAGATGGACAATTGAACCATTGTGATCAATGAATTTAGCATAATATGAATTCTATGTGGAAACAAATACTTTTCACTACTTCGGTATCTATCAGTATAGGGTTGCAGAGATTGTTAAGCTTATGATTGAGATCATGAATCGATCAATTTTGGATTACCATTGGAAACCTGAAAGCACTGGAGCTAATGAGTGTCAGGTAGAGATATGTATCTACTTCATACAATGTACGATGGTCGTGCAATTTCGTGGATTATTTGAATTTACACATTATAGTCGTTGGATGCCGGTTCAGCGGTCTAGAGATTAAGCGTTCGCACGCGAGACCGAAGGTTCCGGGTTCGAACCTCACTCTAAGGGTCGTGAGTGCGCACTTCTGAGGAGTCCCATACTAGGACGGGACGGTCGTCCAGTGCTTCCAGGTTTTTCACGGTGACCTAACATTAATCGATTCATGAGCTTAATCAAAACTTCAATGTCTACTAGCATAATAAAAGTGTATTCAGTAGAAAAACACAGTTTACAAGTAATTAATGTTAAATTTGTCATTCTTTATTCAGATGTAATTTTTCTGGAAGTTGCAAAGTTTAAACGACGGTAGATTAAAGAAAAAAGTGGTAACTTTACTTACCGATTAAATCCTTAACTGGACCATTACACCCTCCATATTCTTCCGGCATGATTGTTTCAAACCAGGTATCTTTTTGAAAGCTTTTTCCGTGTCATCTTTAATTCTTATAATCTAGTCGTATTAAAATTGTGTGTAGATACGACAATGAAAAGTGTTATTAGATGAAATACATTTAATTTAATGATTCTTTTATTCGTTAGAACACTAAGGTCTGGAACTATGTTTTTTTGCTAGTTAATACTTGAATTTCTCGACTTGAAACTAGTAGCTTGTTTAGTCAACCTTAATTTCAACAGTTTACTGTTCACACTTATCCTGTTATTGTTTGTGTATTTATTTTAATTGTCTTCTCTTTTGACATGATTTTTGATCTTATAGTTGCTCATGATCTCAGACCTCCAAAATTTCCTTATCAACTCAAAATCTTGATCCCTCTTCCCCGCTACATTCAATTGGAAAAATGTCTTCCTTCTATCTTTTCATTCTAACATGAATCAAAGATATATGAATTGTTCTAGTAAATATGAGAATTTCCATCAAAGGTACTTATTAAAACTATTATACATAAAATCTAACTAATTCGTTCCAAAATAATTGATTATTTAACACACAGTGTTCGGTAGAGTGGAAATGTAATTTTTTCCAGAAGAAAGAATCAACATTTAAATGGTATACCGACGTCACCAACTTCTGTACCAATAAAACTCTCACAATTGTACCAGTCCATTAATACGATTCCCTGAGAGGTTCAAACTTGTCAGAGGATCATTTTTAATGGTTTTAACAAGAAAACATAATTTATCTTTGTACTACGTGATCAGAGAAAATCGATTTTAACAAGAAGTGCTTTTAATATCTGATACTATCTACTAATAAACCTATAAATAGTATTATTTTGTCAGAGAAAAAGAAACTAAATAGTTCATGCTCTTTAAAAATTTGTATTGAATAAATGAATAGGTCAACAACTTTACTTTTACACAGGTGGTCAAGAGGTATCCAAAGAAATGATTGTGATTAGCTGTTTCAAAAACTTTTAGATAATAGTTTTGACAGTAAATCCATATATCACAGGCTGGTAAATGATAAACTATCTTGAACCAGAAATCATCGTATATTTATCCCCTCCTAGTTTGTATAAACCACTGTTTTACACTAGATTATATACAAGACCTCCAGGTCTTACATAGGCATAGTTCTCTTATAATACTTTGTTAATATCTTATAGTTCACATTTTCAATTACACTCAGTGAGGTATAGCTGTCTGTTAGTACCATATGTAATATCTGTCTTACCAACGACATTATCAGTATAGGGGTTGTGGAGATTAATAAGTTTTGATTGAGATCATGAATCGATTGATGTTAGACCACTGTTGAAAACCTGGAGGCACTAGAAGGCCGTTTCGTCCTACTCTGGGACTCCTCAGCAGTGCGCATCCACGATCCCGCTCGCGGGATTCCAACCCGAGGCCTTCAGTCTCGCGCGCGAACGCTTAACCGTGACGGGTAGAGACAGGTATCTACCTCGGTACAATGGAAGATGGTCGTGCTAGTTCGTGTATTGGTTGATGTTAGACACTAACATCATTGGATGCCGGCTCAGTGGTTCAGTAGGTTGAGCGTTTGCGCGCGAGACTGAAGGCCCCGGGTTGGAATCCCGCGGGCGGGATCGTGGATGCGCACTGCTGAAGAGTCCCAAAGTAGGACGAAACGGCCTTTCAGTGCTTCCAGGTTTCCAACAGTGGTCTGACATCAATCGGTTCATGATCTCAATTATCAACGACATGTTTGATGTTCGGGAACTCTTCTCAAAGCCATTCACTGTTATAACATAAAATTATCAACCGGTATATTGTCAGATCACAATTAAGAACATTTTAAAATTAAAGAAAAATAGCATAAACATTTTATCTTGCTACATATTACTAGCGAACTACAGAAGCTGTAACCAGTCAACTCATGGAACTGGCGCTAAAACAGTCAGACTTGCATCAATTATTCTGTTAACTGTATGATACTTATTGGTTAATCGATACACTACGTTGAATTATGAATCTTACTGTACACTTAATTAAAAGAAGAACAGTATAAAGGAGGATATCAGGAAAAAAAAGCAAAGTACTTACTCGTTGTCGCATTTTATCACTTAACCAAAATTCAAAAATTTTGAAACCTATATCGAATGCTTTCGATTCTTTATAAAATATAAGATGTTTAGTACGTCCAGGAGTAGCTTCCTAGAATAAATAAAAATCAAACACAAATAATTCATCATTCATATGGTTAACATGTGTTGATAAAAGCGAAAATTACAAATTGTCAGTTTCACTGAAATAATGAATCGATCCAAGTTAGATCATCAATGAAAACCTGGAAAAACCGGACGGCCATTTCGTCCTACTCTGAGATTTTTCAGCAGTTAGTATCCATGATCTTGTACACCTTCCAGTGCTTCCAGGTTTTCATTAGTGGCCTAAATTAAATCGGTTAATGAATTCTGTGAAACTCAACAATCACCACAGCCTCATACAGAAAATTATTATGTGATAACTAGTGACTAGCTTTGAGACGAACTTTCCGGAGTTCTAGTGAGAAACCGTAACCAGTGGAGTTAATTCCTGTCGGATGTGAGGAAGGTGCCCCCCAAACACGGTGGAAGATGGTTGTTCAATGAAATTCAACAATTTACATAACCCATTACTGAAAATCAACTTGTCAGTATTGTAAGTTGAATCTAATACATAACGAGGAGTTAACTGAGAATCTCTGACATATAGCTTATAGGTTACATTAAAACACTACTGACTGATATAGTCTTTCATTACACAAAATAATGATGTTACAACTATTAACAATGAATAGTTAGTTATATCAGTCGATTAAATCCAATTATGTTATTGAGGTGGTAGTATAGAAAGTTAAACGAAACAAAAAGATAATCAGGCATGCTGGTTCATAACTGAGTGGTAATCAACGTTATGTTTGTCTAATCCTTTATATTGGTTGAATTCTATTAATAAGTTTGCAGTTTGGCCACTAGTGAAATTGCTTGCAACATGTTTGGATTTTAAGTTTTTCGAAGGAATTCGGTAAGAAGCCCAATGTTTCGTACTGGTTACTATTGGTCAGAATATAAAACCTTGGAACTTAAGTAAAAGATGTTCCCATCAGCTTCATGGTCAGATACCTTGCTACTGGGCTGTTTTTAGCCTCATTTAGTCCCATTTAGGAATGGTAGGCACTAATTAATCCTCTCAGAGAAGATTAACGTTACAGCTATCAAGAAACCTCTATTTAAAGCTTCTTAACAACTGCTTAGGATCACCTAACATGAATGCTTGAGTTTAGAAATCATTTCGATTTGGCTAGTGAATTTCTTTATGATTAGTTTGTAAAAAAACTTATGTTAATCAGTACTATATATATTTCTAAATAATTTTCATCACGAACTGACATAAGCTGAAGAAAAATTTAAAATCACTGAGAAGTGGACAACTATTAAACTACTAGAGTTTCCACAAACCTCCATTCTGACAATAATCACCATGCCCTCATTAACAAATGGCTTCAAGATGGGTTTCCTGAAGGTCTAGTGAGATGCCATGATCAGGGAAGTCGAACTGTGTCTTTTGTGAGGCATTTACTCACTGAAGACAATGGTGGACAGTTGCGAAATATCGTGGATCCGTTGAAGCTAGACATTAACACCGTTGGAAGTCGGCTCAGTGGTCTAGAGGTTAAGTTTTCGCGCGCTAGACCGAAGCTCCTGGATTCGAGTCCCACGTGTGGGATAGTGGATGCGCACTTCTGATGAGTCGTATATTAGGAGGGAACGGCCGTTCAGTGCTTCTACGTTTTCAATGGTGATTTAGCTTAAACTGACTCATGAATTCGACCATTAAATATTTTATATTAGTTTGAGACTCCTCATCAATGCACATACATGAGTACTCGAACCCAGAACCTTCAGTTTCCTCTTTTATCGAAATAGTGTTGAACTAACGATCTATATTAGTAGATTTAGTCAACTTGTGGTGCTACGCGACTTTTATCGAATGTAATCAATGATTTATTGTCTTAATCTTGACTCTCTTTGTTTTACAGGGAAGTTTAACCATGAAACTAATCAGGAGTTAGCATATGATTAAAATTATTGTCATTTTCAAGCGAATCGAATTTGATGTGAGGAGTGGAGTTCATATCTTTTTATAATTTTTATTAGAATAAATAAAATAATCGATTACTTCTTTTTTTTTGAGATTCATTTACCTGTAATAATTTCATTGAGCTTTTCGCTGTTCTTGGGTCAGTCCATTCACTGACTTGTTTAGCTGTTGTTCCTGATAAATCAATGAAAATACCGACTCCTCCAATTTGACATTGTTCGTCGAAAATAAAACGTTCAAAATTCATATTATTCAAAGCTCTCATTTGTGTTTGTGATAAACGATCAGATTGCCAAGCCTCTTTAAAAAATTATTTTCACAGTGATTCAATATATTTATTAGAACTTACTCAACCTTAGTATAAACATGTGTACTCCACTGTCTACGATACCCAATGGAACAAAAATGCTGATTTGAAAAAAACGGATAAGATATACATTGTACTGATTGATAAATCTTAAACAAGAAACTTTGAAACTGAGACATTCAATATACAATGACTATAGGAGACAGAGTAAAAGGTAAATAAATGTCTTAGAAAGATATACTGTTTCTACCTAGATGAATATGAGTAATTAATAATAAGATAATGTGAAGTAATTGATAGATTATATTTTGTTGTTGTCATTATAATACATGAGTAATGACTGAAATTAGATAAAAATCTAGGTTTCGGCATAACTTTAGGCTTAATTACTGATCCTTCAAGTTTTTTTAGTGTTGATTTCACATAATTTAAAGGTAATTTTCATTATGAATTGTCATCGTTAAGATGGATATTCTGGATATTCTAGTTGGAATTTTCGACTTACAAAGTCGTCTGAATCTACAGGAAATTACTAATTAACTGATCGGTAATATTCATCTGGCAAATAGATTGGAGTTGGAAATATGGACTGCTGGCTTTTGACTAAGTGAACTGACGTTACCGTGGTCATCATGAGGTGTAGAGACCCTATTTTCGAATTCCTTAGGAGTTTTAAACGCTCATTTTCGAGCAATTCAAAAAACGAAGTATCTACTTACTACACATCGGTTTTCAATGATTTATTGAAGAATCTGTTGACTGATCTGACTGCATATCATCACCGTTTATGATCGATTCGTAATAAGTAATGACTCAGATACTACTTATTCAGTTAGTGTGAATCAGGAGCTGATTATCTCAGTTTGTAGGACAGCATATTTGGTGTAACTAATAAAAAAGTATATTATTCAATACAGGAATAATAATCTCAGTCTTCCAATGCTCAGAGAGACAAAACAGACATATGTACTCATCATGAGTCTAGATACAAATTTAAGTGCACATGAAATCAGGTCATTACTGATCGTTCATCTGATATTGGTTCATGATTATTACTGGCTGCAATTGTCTATTTGTTCACTGTATTATTTGAATACTTCAATAGCGTATCTGTCTGACTAGTCATATTGAGGTCAAAACGTATATTGGTTGACGAAGCGGCTGTTCTATTTGGGAATGTAGACCCTTTAGCAGTGAAGGTCCTCAAACCCACTTTAGACTGAACCTAGGATCTTTCGAGCCTCAAAGGGAGCACTCAACCTTTAGACTAATCAACCATATAATGATGTAAACTTAAAATTAAACAATTTCAACTGACATGAAAAAAATTATTCACTTACCCGGCATCTAGATATACGTCTACAATCGGATCGGTTAATTTTGGATACTTATACCATTCTGTAATCCCATGTTTACTTAAACAACGTACACTACAGAAATTATCAATGCGTTTCTGTGCAACCGAATGATCATAATGTGCATAACGTAGAAAACCAAGCAAGAAAGCATCATCTTCGTGTTTTAAACATTTTTTTAAGAAAAGGAAGATAAATATTTGAATAAAGTTACGAACAGAAATAATAACATCTAAAAAACATACCAAAATAAATTGTTAATGATAAATCGCTATGCAAAAGGTTTAATTCAGGCTGGATTAATATTATTTATATACTAATTCAATGATAAAGTATAAATGTATTGAACGAGAATACAGATGGTGACAACCAAATGTATTTCAACACAAAGTTACATAGTTCTTTCACCAGATGCAAAAACTTTAAGTCCAATACTTCATTTACAAATCCTCCGCCAACTGTCCCAAACTTCATCGGTCTTTCATTGCTTTAATAATTACTCTCTGTTCCCGTTCTTTTCGATTCGATCTTCCCAACCTTCTGTTGCCAGGCATTCCACTTCTGTCTGGTGTTATATATTACTTATATCGACATAAGTACCATATGTCATATGATGATTATAAACATCTTTCATAATCTTTTACTAAGTCATGATGAATAACTCATTTGTATAGGATACTGAACTTCACATTTATGTTTAGGAGTGCGGTCTATCATAAGCTAAGTGGATAACGCGGTTGAGTTTGGAGCGAACGGTACTGGATTCGAGTCCTGGAGTACATCCAGATGACGACTCACAAATAGGATAAAACCAGCGTTTTGTATTTCATTGTTAGTCACCGTCTAACTATGCTTATTATCAGGAATGATCATAAATTTGACAATGAACTTGTCTTACTTTGAGTTAGATCAAACAAACTGTGCACATACATTTCAAGCGTACAATGTACATGGATGAGTCAAACTTATTCAGGCAGTTACGCAAATTTTATTTTAAGCTGTTATGACTGGACACTTGTAAAACCGGGTCTATTGTTTGGATGTACTGAGCATTTTCTGTGAAGTTTCTCTTACTCTTATCAAACTATTGTTAATATTGGCTATTTTGATTTCCTAAGTGAATATTGATGAAAATTCAACTTTTTAACAATACTGTTGTTATGCAATCTATTGATTCTAAACTTATCTATAATAATTGATCACTGAATAATGGTCGACGTTTAGTCCTTAGTTCGGAATAAATTTTATGTGTAAAGCTGTAACACGGTCACTAGTCTATGTGACTTGACATCGTGTAAACTTTGTCTTGGTGTTTGGGGGTCTATGGGAAACCTTAGATCATGGTTTTGTGTCAGTCGGCACTTATCAGTAGGAGTTACCTACAATTTTGAGGGAGTTGAGTTTTCTCATTAATTACATAATATCTTTAGATATTATAATTAGCATATTCATCTTAATAGACGAATTGAGTTGCCAACTATTCATCGTCAGTTTCATGAATACCTGTAGTATGCAATTCTTTCCACTTCATAATTTTTGCATAGACCAGAAACGGTACCTGTAACAGATTTATATGAAATCATCTATGTTGTAGACTCCATTCATCTGTTTACGATCTAGAAATTAGAATGTTAGTTATCATTAAGGTTCATAAGTTTATTTACTACATATTATCACGTTTACAGGAAATTACTAATCGAGGTTGATAGTGTCATTCCTAATTCTATTAATTTACGAGATAATTAGTGGTGAAGATTTCTCGGTTGAATGGATGATTTTAGATGGAGGTTTGATCACGAAGCTACTTCTGTTCTTCTGAACAACATCATTAACATGAACTTCAAGTAGAAGTGAGGTATCCGAATTTATCCACAAATGATTGACATTTTGTCCTATCGTTCTTGACCGTGATTGGCTATTGTTGATTAGTTTCCTGTTGTTGTCTGAATATTTATTTTGATTGTCTCTCCCTTAGACCTAACTCTTGATCCTTTATAAGTCTATGATTTTTTTAAACGCTTGACCAATCTAATTGATTCCTGTGTGTTTATTGACTGTTCACTAATCCGAGTGCCTAGCTTCTAAAAATTCTCTGCTCTTCTTCGTATTTCCTCTGTCCAACTTCTCGGCATCTCAGTTGAATATACATCCACAATTAAAGGCGTGCATCGATAATGGTAAAAATACCATTCAGTGTTTGCTAGCTAGTTAATGTTCATTCAGACAAAGACGAAGATCTCGTCCACTTTATTTTATGTAATGTTTCTCATAGTTGGAACAGTTTGTTGTATATATGATGTTTGGCTTTTCTTCTTGATCGTTTCATCCTTTGACTGAGTGAGATTGCAAATTTTATGTTGTCGAAAATGTTGTAAATCAAATTGTTAATATTTTCTTGCTCATTCTTTTTTAATGATAAAATTCAAAATTTTAGTAAAGGGTTGTTGAGATTACTAAGTTTTTGATTGAAATTATGAACTGATTGATGTTAAACCACCATTGAAAACTTAGGTTCGAGTCTCACATATAAGATCATGAATGCTCACTGTTGAGGAGTCCCACAATAGGATGAAACGGTCGTCCAGTACTTCCAGGTTTTCAATAGTGGTCTAACATCAATCAGTTCATGATATCAATCAAAAAAATTCGAATTTGTTGATGTCTCACCGTCGCAAATGATTTCATTTTGGAATATTTGGTAGAATAACATTTCATTTGTTGTTCTGAATAAAATAATTTTATTCTTTGTTTTCTTGGTTTTTATCTAGACTTATTTGTTCATTTTAACTTGGGAATCCATCTGTCATTTTCAATTTCGTACTAAAAATTACACAGTCTTATTTATTAATTTTTTATTTCTTTGTTATCGATATGCTTCACAGTCCTTTTTTTGTGTCTAGAATACTCATCTAACTAATCAATAAGTAGTCAAATAGACGAAGAATTTTTTGTATATCTGTTGACCTTATATTGATTTGTATCCATGAAATCTTCATATTTCACCAAGTATTATACTATAGATACGATTTATGTTACATATATGCCCCCTCCCATTTTCTTAAAGAAACAGTTTATGTGATTCATTTAATATCACTACTTTAAACTGTAAGTAGCTAACAGAATATATGTAAACTCTATATTTATAATATTTATAACAGCCCCAGTACTAATCAGTTGGTACTGAATCTGTTGTGTATTTTAAAATGTATACACCTATGCTAATCTAGAGTCATAAAAAACAGTTGATTGAAAAGAACCATTTTCTAGAGCAATTAAGTATTGAACATAAGTTTATTTTACCAATGCCAAATAAAATCTACTCACTTAAACGAAAGAATAAATCATTTAACTATAATTGTAGTTAAGCATCAATTAGAATGTGCCAATTGATGATGTGCACAAATGAGTCATGGAAACCATAATAATGATTTAAACCTTTTAATTAAATAAATAGATAGAATCAAAATATAACTTGTCACCGAATTCAATTATTTTCTTTTATTAAACTAAACAAACTTCATCATATACCTATTAACAAAATTATATAACATTCTCTTTAAGTTCATCATGTTAATTTACTGATATTATCTAGTTTAATTAATACTAGGAATGGTTACACACATATATATATCTATTCTAAGGTATCCAATTAGAAAGCTAACAAGAAATGAATCCATTTTATTTTTATTACTCATGGTATTCAACAATTTATTTACTTGGGATTGAATACTTGTCTCTTCTTATAAGTAATAACTATTACAAAAAGAATCGATATTCACTTAAAGCTTTAAAAACGTTTTGTTCAGAGTTCATATTCTTTGAATATATAATATCGAAATAGTTCAAATCTATCAGAAGATATTAGTTTTCTCAAAGTTAGTAATATTTCATACTGCTTAGTGTCTGTAAATGTAAAATATAAATTAGTAATAATTATCATTCTACTAATAGATAGTTAAAAGTGTGGTGTGAAATACTTAAATTCACATAAGTAGTATATAACGATAGTTAAGAATAGAATGTATTTCAGTAGAAGATTGAAAAGGAAAAAAAACGGGAATGGAAAGCAATTGATATGAAAATGCAGGAACAATGAAATCTGAAACGATGGGCTGATTTTTGCATAAGAAACAGTGAAGTTTGAGATAATTAATATTTTGCAAATTAAATATTTACTGTATTGTACTCAAATTTTAGTGAGATGTTCTGTAATTTCGGATTGAGACACATTCACTTGTGTTCTTGTTTACTACGAAAGTACTTTATGGCAAATCCCAGAGTCTCCATAATCATTAGTATTTAGTGGAGGCCGGTGTTTTGATTTGTCCGCATTTAGATCGGACTATATTCGTTGAAGGGCTCACCATTTTAGTGGCCCGTGGATCTGACTCCAAGATCGTATAAATGATTGTTATCGCCTATTCTCGTATATAATCGTCGACTTAAATCGCGTTAGTCAATAACAGAATTAAATAAGTCGAATAACGAGAATGGACTTGTGAATGCATATATTTTGTATATGAAGCGAATGAAACAGAGTAGAGTAAAATGACACGCAGGGAAGATGGCTGGGAAGCCAACTCCATTTTAGTCAAGCGTTACTCAATATTTATAGTCAGACAAAATAAAGCTACAGACATGTGATTAATGAGATAAGAAGGGCACAGACATATACGCTCATATAAAAACAGTCTAGATTGATAAGCGAATAAATAACAGGGTCAAAGTATTGCTCGAGTAGAATGAATAGAATGGGATGTCCGGAAGCTAGAATAAGGTATATGGGCTTGGCATAATAACTGACACTACAAGTAAAGTGTATATTTTTTAATCACCAAAGTACTATCTTACCTTAGAGATTCAAATCTAACTTAACTGATATTACAATCATAGATGTGATCTTTCAGTTATTCAGATCAGAGACTACAGTTTTTTTTTCTCTCACAAAAACTGAAATACTTATACTGTTTAATCATTGAATAATAACCGGTGTCATTTCATCTAGTTCTTTAGTATGGATTTTGAATTCACTGGTTGTCATTTTAAGTGACCTATAACTAATCTTATTTTGAAAATGTTGATTCTTTATATCATATAATTTTATGTATTTTCTAAAGAAAACTCTTGTCTGATTTTGGTTGAATCAATAAACTTGATACGTTTCTACGGTCCTTTTATTCATTGTTTACTTTTAAATAAGAATTTAGGACAAAATTACATTAGTAACAATAAAACAACAACATACATACATACGATGACCTATATAAGTTTGATTATTTTGTTTATATTATAAATAAAAGAAAGTTGATCTGGCACAAAGTATCTAGTATAACACAGAATTATAGCGTGATATACAAGAGAATGAAATATTATAGAATTGTAGTTTTGAAGAGAAAAAAAATATCAACTATTACTCTGAATAATTTTTGGTATTTAGTGGTAATTCTGGTTAGAGCTTCCTTAATAATGTTGTTTTCGATGAGATGAATCGCCCAGGACAAATTTCAATGGAGAATCTTGGTGGGTGGCCAATGATCCTCCATGAAAGATAATAGGTGTAAGTAAGTAAGTAAGTAATAGTAATTCTATTCATAAGGTTGTAGAAAGAAGAATTGGAATGTCTAACATGATTTGTTGTGAATATAGTGGGTTTTTAATACAACGTTAATTTAACATTCTTATCAGCGACAAAATGCGTTGTTGCGTAACAGATTTCAATGTTATTACATTTGTAGGTACCAAATAAAATGACGATGTTCATTCTCATTAAAATTTATATTGAGTGCTCATTGCTATGTCCTTCGAGTCTGTCGGTGGTAATCGGACTATATTGATAGAATTACAATGTTTTCACAAACCTAAGTAATTAAACATTAAGCTTACTATATTTTCTATTTTAAGCGGTTTAGGTAGCCAGCTATTTTCTACTGGTATATAGTTAGGATAAAATAAACGCTATTTTACCTAGACTGAAGTATGGGTTTCAGTAAGTTGACATCTTGAAATGTAGACAGGTGATTGTGTTTAGCGCTCTGGATAAAGATAGTCTTAATTCATAATAAAAGTTTAGCACTCCATTAGCAGAGCCTTAGTCTCAGAATTCACGTTTGAACTATCCTAAATCAACATTTAAAACACCATTTTTGAGCCGAAATCGAAATGTTCATCAACAAAATAAATCTTATATTGTTCAACATAATTGTCATCAACTGTCATGTTAACAACAAAGAACGATTAACTAAAATGTAAATGTTCATTTTGGGCTATTGTCTACTAATCCTAGCATTGAAATCCCATATACATTTTATTATCAACATATGGACGTCAAATTTAAACCATTCTCATAACAACATACAACTTAATACTTTACAGGTCTATAATTTACGGATGAATCAATCATATTTAGGATAACAGGTGTTGGATTTTGGAGCGTAATTCACTCATCCATTTGGCTAGATAGCGTTTTGGCATTTTAACTGATGGCAGTTCGTGATGAAAACTCTAAATCTGATTCCTAACCCTAATTATCAACTGTAAATTATAATCGTTATTCTTCACACAGGTCTATAACTCTTATTTAGCTCTAGTAAGTCGGCGGACATTCTCCAGGTTGCTTTAGCGTCGCTCAAAGGTCGTCCATAAATTATAATCTTACTATAAGTAGTTTTTTAGTGACAGTATTTGCAGAATATGATAAATTCACCATATTTCGTTTCTTTTTCTTCCACTACACATATAAGCTAATATGTTTAATTATTTGCAATTATTAACGTAACATAGAAAAATGAATTATCAATCAATAACGAATAAGTCGTGTGTAATGTATTTCTAGAAGAAATGATTGAACTCATCTATGGCGTATACATTAAGAAGAGATCTGGTGTAAACGAAATATAGACTTGCGCAGCTATTGCCCTTTAAGCTCGTGTAAGAGTATACTGTAGTAGAAAATAATTGTCTGAGTAACAATGGGTAACCTCAATCAGTTAAAAGGAAATACAGTACTGACTATCGAAGTAAGATGGAAGAATACAAGTTCAGAAGGAAATATGTTTCTATTCAATTGTCATTCAAATACGATCAACTAATGAATAAAATTAATCGAGTACTAAATGCAACTTTAAAAAGTACATTTCTCCAAAGAAGTTGATTCCTTTATACAAAATACATAGTGGATAAGTATCTGATATTTATCACCTCCGATGGGAAATGTCAATTTACTTGTACATAAAAACACGTACAATGATTTCTGTTCGTTTTAATGAGCACATTCCAAAACATCTATGCCTTAAAAGAAGAAAGCTGCCTATGAAGTGCAACAGAACGCGCTACTTGTTACACATGAGGCACTATGTGGGTGCATTAAATTCATTCATAGTTATCAGTGAACAGTTCAATTCCGCAACGTCAAAATTTACAGAAACCACAACTACTAGGATGTTAAAACTAAACCTTTGTATACAGAAAGACTCATTGGTAAATCTTCACTTTTCACTGTAACATTTTAAACTTTCTTCGTTGAGATTAATTACAACCACAATCTGGTGGGTTGAACTCATACATTCTCCTTACCCTTGTAATAAAATCATTTTCATATTTTGGAACTATTATCTTAAACAACCATAAAAAGAACCTCCTATTAAATCTGTCATTCTTAACTCCTTTCATGTGACGCGCAACTTATTTGTCATTGATTGATAATTCATTTTCCCATGTTATGTTAATAATTGTGAATAATTAAACGTATTACCTTAGATGTGTAGTTGAAGAGAAAGCAATAAAATACAATGAATTTAGCATATTCTGTAAATACTGTCGTTCTTACTTTGTTTAAAAGTTGTAAAGGGAATCAGCTGGCTTCAATATTCCAATGGTTCGAATAGTAGCATATTATGTTCTTAAGTCCTTATATCAACCTCTTTCTACTTTTAAGTGGACATCTTGAAATACCACGACAGGTATATGAAAACATGTGCACCATTCACGATTATATTTAAGTGATATCAATGTGTGAATTACTCTTGAATTCAATTTATCTTAAATAAACATTAGTTTGTAAAGTCCATAAATGATTTTGAGTTTGTATTTAGAATGATATACTACATATATGTAGAATGAAATTTCAGTATCGAGTCTAGTAGTAGTAGTCTATAATGGTGGACAATACTGAAAATTATTAGTACTTAGTCCAGTAAATAGTGAACATTGATCTTCGTCTCTTTTTTGGTGAATTGATATAACCAGAAGTATACAGTTAGGTAGTCGTTTGACTTAAAACTGCTTCGTTGTATGATGTCATATTCGTAAAGGTTCTTTACTTGTTATTGTAGTCAATCCATAATAATCAGCTCTCACAATATTACAAAATTCAGTTTCCCTGTATGCCAAATAGTTTTGTGTTTTCTCTTGATTAGAGCCGTTTTAGGAATACATGGTAGAACATTTTGGCACACTGATTTAGAAGCTATGTGCCTACCTTCAATAAGATTGATATTGATCTCAAAATGCTAATATTACTTCGATTTGTTTCCTACTTAATCAGTTTACTATTATGCTCTGACAACAAGACTTAAAGCTCATATGTCTGATCTTGTAACTGATCAAATATACATTATGATGTAATGTCTCAACCTATACTGAAGTAGATAATTGATTTTGGTGTTTAATATTTCATCACACAAATTGTGATCATGATTACTGAAAAGTTAAGTAGTCCTTTGAGATTATTTAATTCAAACAAGTTTGAAATTGCCACAATCCATTTATATATGTCAGACTAACCTATAAATATACGTCGATTTGGTCCTTGCTAAGACTAATCCTGTACAATTTACATAGTTCGCATATATAGAGAAGTGTATATATGCATGAAATAAGTGTTTTTTCGTAGATAAGGCAAAATCAACAGACTTCTGTACGAAAAAATATGTTTGATAAGTTTAAGAACTATTGAACTAACTGATTACAATTATCTGTATTGAGAAAGATTCCCATAAATGAAACAAAATAGAAGAAAAACCAAGTTTTACTGCAAACAGTAATAACACAAGATCATATAAGATCATTCTTTCGTAAAAATAAGACAAAACTGATCATTAGAATTTAACTCAGTATATCAGTCATAATACAATTTTAAAAAGATGAATGGATCTAATTTTTATCTGTAACCGATAAATTAATCTTTCAGTCAGTCCTAAATGGGATTCAAATTAATGTTTAACACTGTAATATTGGCTCAGCAATCCCTATTCAAATTTAGTCCATGATCAAGCAAACTTTCTGGATTTATCAAGTCATAAATGTTACCAACTTGAAAAACGATCTGTTACACAATAATTATTAATGTTACGGAGAAATACCTTGACAAATCAGGTAATCCCACGTTATTGACGGTATTATTGGTTGAAAATATTTAAAAACTTCGACTGGAAACATTCAATTAATTTGTTAAATAATCTTTACTACCAATTAAATATGAATGCTTTAGTCTCGATAATGATGAATCTCTAATTCAAAGAATATGACTTGACAATTATATTCGTTTATTAATAAATTCAGTATCAAATGTTATAACTGAAGTTTACTACATCCAGATACAAGTATATATTGATATCATGAATGGATCAATTTTATACCACCATTTAAAATCTAGAAGCACTGGACGGACATTCCGTCCTAGTATGGGTCTCCTCAGCAGTGTAACTCCACGACCCCGCACGTCAGGCTCAAATCAAGGACCTTCGGTCTTGAGCACGGACGCTTAACCTCTAGACCACTGAGCCGGCATTGCGCGACCGTCCACCATTATTTTCAATAAGTAACTACCTCACAACAGACACGGTTGAACTTCACTGGTCATGGCATCTCACTGGAACTCCGGGAAATCCATCTTGAAGCTAGTCACTAGTGACAATGACGAAACAGCCTTTCAATGTTTTAACATTGATAGATTCATGATATCAATCTAAACTCAACAATTTCCACAACCCTATACATAGGGTTGTTATATATATAACAATATATAATATTTATAAGATCGGCAATAAATTATCATTATTTTTAATTGAAATTTTAATTATAATCTTACCTTGAGGTATTGTTAAATGTTGACATGAGCTTAACCATCGTTTAAAAGCAGTCAAATGTGCTTGAACATGTGCTGGATTTTCTGACAGATTCTTTTTAGCTAATTCTACATAAAATGGTGATAGACTGTTGCTGACTTTGACAGCCATAGTTTACAAAGTAATTAGATAAGGGGATGTTTATCACAGATGAATATCTCTCTCTCTATATATATATATGTTTTTCCAATTTCAAAATGATATAATTCTGTAAAATGATTGGTCATTGAAAAGTGCTCATTGTTGGCCAATGTTGAATTATTCTAATTTTTTATTGGTCAATGTAATAAAATGATTAAATGATAAATCGAAATAAAAATATTGTTTCACTTGTGTTATCATTATTAATCAAGTATAATAAATCAGTTTAAATAGATTGTTTCTTGTTTGATTGTTTGGATAAAATGAAAAAGACAGTTAACGTAGAATAATGTCAAAGGGAACAGTTTATAATCGGAAAAGCGTATTGAAATATCATATTAGAAAGGCGAATCTCTTGGAGTTGACACTAATGTTTTTTTCACTTTGGGTACCAATGATATATATAAGAAAATATAAACAGTTTAGTGGAAAAAATGTCTGTTTGACGATATCACTGACTAGATTGATGTATTTGGCAACAAATATCAGAAATTGACATTACTTATGACAGAATTAGAGAGGAAATTAGCATCATGGTAAGGTGAGCGATTGAATATAGTACTTGTAGAAGCAGAGAACATGCTTGAAGTGATGAAGTGCTAGAATCTTTATTATACACATGTATCTATACGGTGCTCCCATTTAGTCTAATTTTACAGATGATTTAGAAGGTTACTTTCGGTGGGATAACGTGGCCATAGCTGGTGAAACTGCTGATTATTTAAATTTACCTTTAGACAACCTTGCAGAGTAGTACTTAAAAACACATAAAAAAGAGTACACATTGTATGGCCGACATAACTTAGTTCACAAGACCAAATACACTTACGGATACATGGTGAAGTAGTCGAAGACAAAGTTTTATACTCTATCCCTCTTAACTTTGATGTTGGCAGAAAAAAATCAACCCGGTAGATATTTCCCAAAGATCATGGGGATTGAGTCTTACTGTCGCTGGTGGAGGATCGCCTTTGAATTTTACCAGCTTACCGTTTTGGTTTCAGATTTCACTCAATAAATATGTGTGGAAAAGTAGGTTTCACAATTCACTTCCGATTGTTTCTTCCGTGCAAATTCATTTGGTTTTTGAGGATAGAAAATGATTTAGGTTTCACTTCTTTCACAATGGTTTGCAAATTTGAAAATTCTCAACACTGCACTTACTAAGTTGATTTTCTTTCATTAATCTTTGTAGAGTACTGTTTGGTACTCATCTTCATAAATATTGAAGAAGTAGATTTACAAGTTAATTTCAGGTTCTAGTGTGAATATATTAGAATAATCCTGAGTGTTAAATTTCTGTAGTATGTCATAACATTTTCTGTTACCTTCAAAGAGAATGAAATTTGTCGTCAATATATTTCTTGTATAAATTAGTTTGATGCACCGTACTTCAAAGGTTTATTTCAATACAGAAAATATAGGGTGTTTATATAATATTTCAAATGTTTTTGGGTTGCTCGAAGATTCTGGAATGCTACTAAACATAGTAGCAGTATAGCAATCAGTCAATCAAAACCATCTACATGTAACTTTTCACTGCCATGATGTTTCTGGCTAAAACTTCAAGTGAACACTGATTGGATGAAACGCTTCTTAGTGCTTCCTGATCCTTGCTTGTCTCTTGCGAGAAATTTTCTGGATCACCCCAACAATTTTCATGTTTTCTTCAAGGCCAAATAGCATTTGAATGCCTCAGTGGGATAATGAATATACATTACTAAAGATTACCTTGCTGAATCGAATTACCTATTCAGTTGGTCCTAGTTTTCACTGGTTATTTGTTTAAGATCAATTTCATGATATAAACTACAAAAATTCAACAGTTTCCATAGACGTTTTGAATTTTTTTCGGTCGTTATATTTTTATTTGGTTATTATTATTATTATTACTTTATTGAATTGTCTAACATTTTCATGTTTTTTTTGTATTTTTACTCAAGACAAAATCGCATCATATCATATTCATTACAATAATCTTCTTCTTTCTACCGATTTCTTTTAATAAATTATCATAGTAACATCATTCATAACTTTGACAAATAAGCACAAACCCACATACACAGAGAGAAAAAGAGAGAGAGAAAACCATATTGACTTGATTTCATCATCTTTAAAGAAAAACAGATTTCAAAAAAAGAAAAAGAATGGAATTCTTTTCAAGGTTGAAAACTTTCTTTCTTATTTGATTATTAACATTACTGAAGTTGTATAAAAGATAAAATATCATCCGATTAGTATATAGAGTAATATAAACTCATCTTTAAACTTATTCTATAAAGGGAATATTAAATGGTTTGAATTATTTTTTTCTGGTTAGAGTTTTTTAACGAGTTAGTTTTCTACGGGATGGGGTCACTAACCTCATGCCTAACCTGGTCCTTTATCCGGGCTTGGGACCGGCAGTAGCCCCAGAGGGGCTCCAGGCGATGGTCGACTGCGTCATGAAGACGTCAACATCTGAGGGGAAGCGTAGGATACAGTGGACAGCTAGAATGCAGCTGGACGATCTAGAATTCGCAGATGATCTGGCTCTTCTATCGCATACGCAACAACAAATGCGGGAGAAGACGACCAGTGAAGCAGCAGCAGCAGTAGGTCTCAAAATACACAAAGGGAGAAGCGAGGTGCTCCTATACAACACAGTGAGCAGAGCAGAGTACATGAGATCCGATAAACGGAAGAAAAAGAGAAGTTAGCCAACGACTCACTGAGTACATAAGAATCATTTAAGGTTAATAAATGATAGGAATCAATAAAATCAGGAAAAGAATGAAACGAAGATAATTAGATAATTGAGATTGTAAGTTGATAGAGTAAGATTCCTAAAGGCCTACATAACATTGGTTTGAATTCACCATCACTGACACCCCCATCGTATTAAACATAAATGAATCCAATGATAGGGAGGTGATATTTCTGGCAAAATTATGTCTTAATATCATACGATAATTGAGAAACAAGTGTAAGTAAATGAACTACTGACCTAAATAATATCATCGCCTACATATCTCTTCCTGGCTCAATCTTACAATGCATTCTTTGTAAATATAGTTATTTCGTTCTTGTCAATAACTCTTACTACATAGTTCTAATCTTCATCCAATGCATAGTTGATTGTCCAAATGTTAATAAGCAGATAATAATGACCAAATTGGAAAGAAACACTTGGCTACTACAAAATTGCGATAATATGATATTCAGAACTTTAAACAAATTTAAAACTGTGTAGTGGAATTGAAAATTTCTGTCAAGATTTCTTATTGAATATCTTTTTTGTTGGATTCAACTAATCTATTCTAACAATTGCATAATTGTTTTTGTTTTTAAAATACAAGGTACCATCAGAATCGTTAATGTGTATCCTAACTTGTTGATGAGTTCAGAAATTGAAGTTCTGAAAAAACAAGTATATACATTTTATGATGCCAGTAGCTAAAATATAGACGTATTGCGTTAAGAAAAGTCCGTGAAAACTAGAGAATGTTGAACAGTTGTTTTAAAGTAGCATAGAAAGTCATGACAGTATTTCTCACCTGTAGTTCTGTATGAGCTAATCTGAAATATTCAAATCTGGCAGCAACTACCATAGCATAATCATTTTATTCACTAACCGACCAAACTGTCACTCTCGCTGGAAGACCTAAAATGTCTGAATTCAATCGTATTTGGTTGTCGATGGATGATGTTAAAACATCTGAGGCTTGAATGAAACAGCCGTTGTGATATGATATTACCACTTTTAATAAGTGATTTTAATTAATTTCAAGTTAATTATTTCTCTTTTTCATACATAAATTTAAACTCATCTCTAGGCAAAAACCAATTAGTATAAGATAGTCAAGTCCTCAGTTCAATTTCGGCTGGGGTAGGTATTATACGCCGATGAAGAGTTCAATGTTAGAGTGAAACAGTTGTCTAATGCTTCCTGATTTTCCATGGTCATCTTATTAAAGTCAGTTCGTAATGTAAAACTACAAATATTTAATAAACTGAACAACACCTTATATTTTGACGAAAATAAACAAAATGAACATTGTTTTGTTTTAAAAATGAATTCTTTTACACTATTTGAGATAACTGTATTGTACAGGAGTACAGTAAACTACTTATTTTGTAAGCTCAATATGGAACAAACCAGCCCTACTGCGGAAGCAGTAGGACCTGACAACATACCAGGTGAAGCACTGAAGTCAGACATCGAAGTAACTATAAATATGCTTCACCTTCTATTCAAAAAGATTTGGGAGTGTTAATGGGATAGAGATTGGATTAAGACACGTTCCGTACAGGATTATGTTAAAGCACGCTGACTGACTATTTCTTATCCAATCAGCACTAGTGGATACTTGAAGAAGACTTTAGAATCTCATGTAAAAACTATAAATGTACTAACGTTTCTCTTATTGTGATTCTTATTTCCATCCAACCTTGTTATATGGAATATAATTAAATCCCTGTTCAACCATGTTCTGATTTGGGGGTTTGTTGGGTGAAGTAGTGTCCAAGAATACTAGACAATAAGGTTAGCTAGATCTTAATAAGAGAAATTATAACAGGGAGGAAGATCAAGTACCCACAAACTGGAAAGATGAGTACATCATCAATATACCATAGAAAGGAGACCTGAAAAAATGTGAGAACTGCCGAGGAATCACACTAATATCGGTACCAGCAAATATTTTCAACAGAGTGTTGTTGAACAGTATAAAAAATTCAGTAGACGCCCAAATTTGAGATCAACAGACCGGAGTCCGTAAGTATCGGTCATTGAGCAATCAGTTGAATAGAATTCGTCAATATACATCAACTTCCTTGACTATGAAAAATTGTTTGACAGTTTGGATAAGCGAATCTTCTTCGATACTATGGAGTGAGTAGCTGAGAAGATCGTCAACATCATCCAGGATTCATACAATGGACTACACTGCAAAGTGGTGCATGAAGGACAGCTGACGGACGCATTTTAA